AATAATATCGATAGCAGCGTCCCTAGCAACCACCTTGGTAACAATGAAAACGTTATGGACGCAATTTCCTGAAGTAATCTTCGTAATAACTAGCAAACTAAAGATCATGTACATCCACTGCACACAAAATCTGAAATAACAACTCATATTTCTCGCATCAAATGACATCAAAACGCATTTTAATGGCCAAACTAACTTTAAAATAGGCATTTTCCACCGAGAATAAAACGAAGTTCGGCCATGTTTTTTTTTTCTGCAGGGAGAAATTTGAAGATCACATGACGTCAAACAGAGCACATGGTGTAGTCCAAACGATAGCTGGGGATTCTGGGTAGTGCAGTGTCTTCTGCCATCCTTTACTCCGAAAAAATATTTGTTTCTCCGAATCGAAGGGGAAAAATACAAAAGCATTGCACACAATTTAAACCAATCAATGTTGTGTAATTAACAAGGATAATCTGGTGTTTTTTAGTCGATGAGTAGTGCAGATATCACTGTAAAATCAATCGACAGTAAGGGGAATACTTACTTCCGGGTGTACAATTCTCCGTTATCCAATGAGAATGGACGCTCACATTGCCTTTAAGGGCAGCCGACACAAACAAATGCCATGCTTCCATGAGCGTCCATAGAAGCATATGGACATCCCGGAAAGCTGAAAATGGACGCTAAGGCCCCCCCCCTTGAGTTGGAAAAAGCCGACAGGGGACTTGACATAACGTCAACATAGGCCGACCTGGGAGTGAGGATGTGTTGCCTGGATAGACTGAATAACACTGTCAGACAATCCACCCTGTCTCAGCCTGTCCCTCTCAGGAGCCACTGGAGAGGTTGGCCGAGAGTGGGTAACGCCCCGATTGCACCTGCCTCTTGAGACATCGCCCCCCAGAACTGGGGAACCGCCCAGGGCTGGCCCACCTTCATCTGTGTCATCTCTGAGTACCACGGCGCCCCGACACGGTCCGGAGCCACTAGGATGACAGACTCGCCTCACTCTCCCCAGGAGAGGGAAAATGAGACGCAGCGGTGGAAAGGCGTATAGCAGCTTCCTTGGCCATGGCTCGTGTGCAAACGCGTCCACCCCCAAGGGCGGGTCAACGCCCAGGGCCATGGAGAACCACAGCGCACAGTGGTTGTTGCGCCGGCTGGCGAACAGATCCACTTCCGCTCTCCCGAACTGGGCCCAGATCTGCTTCACCACCTCCGGGTGAAGCGTCCATTCGCCTGGCAGGGGGCCGCCCCTCGACGTGAGGTGGGCCCCCCTGTTCTCCAGTCCCGGGATATGGAGGGCTCTCAGGGCTAATACCACCTCTGAAGCCCATAACCACAGCCTCTCCGCTGTGGCGGCGGAGCGGACTCCGCTGTGGCGGCGGAGCGGACTCCGCTCTGCCTGTTGATATAAGCCACTGTGGTGCTGTTGTCGCTCCTGACCAATACATGTCTCCCTTGAATTAGGGGCATGAAATGCTGGAGGACTAACACTACCGCCCGTAGCTCTAGGAGGTTGCTGTGTTGAAACTCTGTTAGAGCCCAGCGCCCACCTATAGCCCTCTTCAGGCAGGTCCCTCCCCATCCTGTTCTGGATGCGTCCGTGAACACTGTGATGTAGGAGGTCACCCGTCCCAGTGGAGACCCCCTCCGGAGGTCATCCGGGGACCCCCAAAACCGGAGGTTGCCCTCCACTGAGGGGGGGGGATGGTCATCAGCCGCTGTTTGTGCCTCTTGGGATCCAAACGCAGGCTGGAGAACCACCTCTGCAGGCGGCGCATATGCAGTAACCCCAGCGGGACCACAATGTGAGTAGCCGCCATGAGACCCAGAGTCTGCATGACAGTTAAAGCTGTCACTGTCGCCCCCTGTCGCAGCCTGTGAACAGCCCGGAGAAAGGACGCACTTCTGCTCTCCGACAGGGTGGCGCGTAGTGCGCCTGCATCGAGCACCACTCCCAACTACAACGCCTGTTGGTGAGGTATGGGGGTGCTCTTTTTTCAATTGATCGCAAAGCCTAATTTGGTTAGGTGTGTGATCAATTGTGCTGTGCAAAAACATTGCCTGTTCCCGGGACCCAGCCATGACTATGAGGTCCTCTAGTAAAAGAAAACTCTCATGCCGTGGGCGCGCAGCGGTTGTAGCGCTGTGGCCACACATTTGCTGAATGTGCGTGGGGATAGGGAATAGCCGAACGGCAGCCTGTTGTACTCGTAGGAAGGCAAAACGCAGACACTTTCTGTACTCTGGAGCAATTTCTACATGAAAGTACGCGTCTTTCAGGTCGATGGTGGTGAACCAATCGCCTGGCTGCACAAGCCCCAGTAACTGTTTCATAGTTAACATGCGGAATTTCCTGCAGGAAATGTGGCGATTCAGGCCGCGGAGATCTAGAATAGGTCTGAATTCCCCTGTCCTCCTGAGAACCAGGAAGTACATGGAATAAAGACCCTTTTCTCTGTGCTGAGGGTGCACAACAGACACAGCCTGTTTCTGCACCAGAGCCTGAATCTCTGCTGAGAGGAAACACAATTCCTCCTGGGAGAACAGATTTACCTCTCGCATGCCCATAAAAAGAGGTGAGTGTGGGACACCCACAAGACAGTGGTCCATGTGATACAGTGGGACGCTGCAAAACTGGAGTGAATAGCCCCGTTTCAGCGTCCTCCTGTCCCTCCACCTTGTTTGCACACAGCTGAGTTTCCATTCCCCAGAACATTGTGTTAATGGACAGGCCCTCAGCTGTGGGGCAGCAGCTATGAAGCTGTGATACTCTCTGGTGACCCGTTCCGCCGCAAAAACTCCCCGCGAAGGGAAGATTTGCCCATGGAGGGTTGACACAGAAAAAGGGCCGATTATTTACTGAGGACCCTGAACGCACCGCCGCGCGCTCACACAAGAGCGCGCGCTCCACCCTAATGCTGTTCTCACCACTACGGTAAACAGCATTAATCGGAGTCTTTATAGGCGTATGTGTTTTACTAAGATCCCTGAACGCACCGCCACGTGCTCTTGTGTGAGTGCGGGCTCCGCCATAATGCAGCCTTTACCACTACGGGTAAACTGCATTGGAGTCTTTGCTCTATAGGCGTAGTGTGTTCTCTGACAGCAATACGCCGGCCATAATGTCCCTGTACCCGCATAGCGCTCTCCTTTAGATAGCACTCCCTGCGGTTCATCCCTCTCTGCGCATGCCCACTAGCCACCTCCTTTACAGGAGCTACAGCTGGGGCAGCGAATGGGGAATTTGTACGGTTAACATTGTGTGTAGGCCTAAGTGTAGCCTTTGTGAAAACAAAATACACTTAGATTTGGATACAGATCAACCTCATTCTTATTAGAAAACGTAGTGATCTGTGCATTATACAGGGAGGAGGCGGGATTCGCCCCCTCGTCCCGGGCGGAGAGATTTTCTCCCTCCACCAGCCAGATCCGTAAAGACGGTAAGCCCGTCCCCGTGAGTGCCGGCACGCCGGTTCCACGGGGTGGGCCGAAGAGGTGGAGAGCGGCGCGGGCACGGGATCTCCGTGCCGGCACCTCTCCCTTCGTCTCACCTCTCTACTGAGGTCTTTGAACGCACCGTGGCCCGCCCTCGGGGGAGGGGGGCCGCGCGCGCCGTCACAATGCCGTATCTTTGAAACGGACATTATGGGGAAAAGTGGAATTGTGGAGAGAAATTACTCTTACTCTGGGATTAATGCAATAGTCTTTACTGAATGCATTTTTCCCACACACACACCTCACTCCAGAACTAGAGTTTACAAACGTAAACCACCGTTCTCCTGCGGGGGTCCCTGAACGCACCGCGGCCACTCTCACGAGGGCCGCGCGCCCACGTATTAACGCTGTATTTCCCATTGCAACGGTGAAATGCATTAATCGGAGCTATTTATACCAGGCAAGGTGTGTTTTCTGACAACAGTACGCCGGCAATAGCGTCTCTTGAACCCGCACAGTGCTTTGACAGCACTCGGTTTATTCCACTCACGTGCACACGCCCACCTGCTGGCTCCCTATACTGGGGTTTACAGCAGGGGCGGGGTGTGTAGGACAGTGTTTCTTCCGCTGGGGATGGGCAAGAAGCAGCTACGCTGCGACTAATCCTCATCCCGTGAGCAAGGAGATCGATCCAAAGAGCCCTTCCGTAAACACTGGGGCTCCCAGGAGATCAACACGATCCTCTTTGGAAAATGCCACGCGGCGTGATATCCCAGGGACATCACACGGCGGGCAGCGGCGGCGGCCTGTGATGAAGTAGGGTCGACCCTATATCACGTGAAGCCACCGAGCACCGGTCCCTGGGGGAACCGGGCCTGGGGCAAGGCCCGTGGACCAAGCTACTTATTCGGCCTTGCGGCCCCATCTCTAGCAATAAGTGAGTAGCCCACACACCCGCCGCCACGATCATCATCCAGGGAGAGTACAGCCCTGGGCGGTGGACTTCCATGGACGCCAGACCCGGAAGGAATGGCGAACGTGAATGGCACCGCCTCGGCCATATCCTGGTCCCTCAACCACTCAAAGCAAGGTGGTGGGGATCGGCGCCCGCCATTTCAGCCAGGGCACGAAGGACAGGCCCGGGTCTCTAGCAGTGGCGACTCCCTGGAGGTATGATAACTCTTTATTTTTCTTTCAAACGTCTCAGTCTCTCGTGGAATCACTTCCGCTGCTGAAGAGAAAAGGATGATAGTCAGGAGGCGAGGCCTCGTTTTATACGGTGTGATGCGCGCGCATTCAGGTAGGCCCGCCCAAAGCCGGCTACGTCTATAGAAATCTCAGTGGGAGAATGCTCGCGGGGTAAGATAGTACCCATAGAGTCCAGTAGAGGGCGGAGCCTGTGAGAAATATAACTCTTTTTATGATATTTTCTATAACGTTTGTGAGTCAGATGTGTTTAGTTGTGTTTACAGTGTGACTATATTAAGCCCGAGTCTGTATCTGTTGACTGATAAGGATCCAGCTGTGTATTATTTATCGTATATATTTATAATGTAATATCTGTGGTCCCTCAGGTTTTCGGCCCTGCACCACGCCGCCCTCACAGGAACCACAGAGCTGCTGGCAGCCCTGCTGGAGGCCCAGGCCTCCGTGGATGTCAAGGACAGCAACGGTCAGTTTCATACTGAGAGAATAACAGCCATAACGATTAACTTTACTTTGTTATGTCTTTTATACATAAATATGTTTCCCCGGTGTGTAAGGGTACTCACAAACCCTCTCTCTCTCCTCCGTACCCACATCTCTAAAAACGGGGGTACAACGGAGCTGATCCAGATTTGCTGCCAATATGACGTAATATCGGAAATGTGGGCTGGCTTTACACCCACGGCCCTATCAGAGAGTTGCTACAGTATCAGAAACAATGAGCAACGTCTTTTGGAAGTAATATGGTCTTTGTTTACATTAGCAAGCATCGCTAACACTCAGAGCTAACCTGTAGTGGAGAGAGTGTGTGTAAAAAAGCAGGAAATAAAAGGAACTCACCTTGTGGTAAACCCGCAAGAGAAAAAGCATTTGAGCTCCATACTGTTTCAGAAATAATCCTTGATGTGGTTTGGAGCATGATATGGCGTTTCATCACAGCAGCATTTAGCTGAGGGAAATTTAAATTGCGGCTGTGGCGCAATAGGGGCGACTGTAGCGCAGTGGACTAGTGCGTTGGTGTTCGGATCAGGGGCCTCATTTATAAACGGTGCAAACGCTCAAAAGATGGCGTGCGCCAGTTTCTAAGCAATGTTTCCGATTTATAAAAGACAAACTTGAAGGTAAAATATGCGGTCCTCCACGCACACTCTGACTCTGGTTGAGATGCACAGGCTGCAGTGGAGACGCTGCGCACAGCTGATCGACAGCTGGAACACAAAACACCAAATACAAAAAAATAATTCAAATCCAGTCGTCATGACTCCTCTCTGGAGGGATTCCCCGATTCTCATCATGGGGGGTCTCCTGTCCCCGGTACAAACACACTGACACACTGCCTGAGGAAGGTTAGGCTATGTGTATTGTTTTTGTCATTGACCTTTTTCAGACCACTTATTTATTTATTTTGGTGACGATCCGACCTCCATGCTGCTACTGGTGCATCCATCAAACAATATGCTTTATCTCGACCCCCCCAAAATAACCAAAATCTGACACGGTGTGAAATGTTTTTTTTTAGCTGTTCTGTCGTCATTTCCTGCGATCTTCTTCATGCAGTCAGTCAAATGAATATTAAGACAGGCGTTTCTTTGACTATTTATAGGCAAATATGGGCGTTACGTGAAGCCCACAAAAGCTGCGCCGCATTTCGAGTTGATTGTGATTTATAAAGGGAAACCGCAGTACGCAGTGTTTTATTAAATCGGAAAATGTCTGTGCGTATAGATTTGCTTTGTCCTACGTAAGCAACCTTCCCACGTGAATCCTACGCAAGGCTTTATAAATGAGGCCCCAGGGGGGCACAGGTTCAAACCCCACTGCAGTCAGCATGTCGTTGTGTCCCTGAGACACTTCACCCCAAATTGCTCCTGTGGGGATTGTCCACAGTACTGAGTATGTAAGTCGCTTTGGATAAAAGCGTCTAACAAGATGTAATGTAAAAAATAAATGTTGATTAAAATACAATAAAAACAAGTTAACGGACAAGAAAATGAATAATTGAAAATATGAAAAGATTTAAATATTCTAAGTTGAAAAATAAATGTAAAAGACATAAAGGCAAGAAAAAACAAAAATTTGACAGAAATTGCATGAAATATAAAAAAAACTAGTAAAAATAAGAAATAACTTTTATTTAAAACAAAAAGATAATGTGACAAGCAAATGAATAGTTTACACACAAAACAATGCATTAAATACACAATAATAATTGTTCATTAATAATAATAATCATACAAAACATTTCTACCCTGTTTATTTGGTAGAAATGTTTTTCTATTTGAGTACCTGTTCGACCTCTGCAAAGGTGGGAGAGTACTCATATCTTGCATTTGAGTAAAGGTAGAAGTACACAGTATAGGAATACTGTGTTACAAGTAAAGGTCCTGCAATCAAAATGTTACTCAAGTAAAAGTACAAAAGTATTAGCATCAAAATATACTTAAAGTAAAGGGTGTCCGGTGCCTTGCTCAAGGGCACCACGGCAGGGCCCAGGAGGTGAACTGGGACCTCTCCAAGTAGCAATCCACACTCCATATTTTAAAGGTCCCATGACATGGCCATTTCTCCTGATCATACTTCCATTGTTGAGGTCTACTAGAATAGATTTACATTGTTCAATGCTCCAAACTCACATTGGTTTCTCAAACAGCATCTCTGTAAAGTATGTGTAGTCACTCTCTGTCCTACACGCCTTGTTGGAGCTCCTGCCCCCCCCCCCCCTCCCTGTGAGCCCACTGTGCTCTGATTGGTCAGCTAGCCCACTCTGTTCTGATGAGTCCACCACCGTTACAGCGGAACATCAGTGATTATGTGTTACAATGGCGTTTGTTAGCAACCAGGAAATGACACCAGTAATGACAAACAGATGAGAATGCTGCGTGGGGTCTGGGTGCCGTGTTGGCAGGACGTTGCGGGGCTCGCTGCTGCGAGGAGCGGACAGTGTGAGCTGGGTTACTGGTGTCATTTCCTGGTTGCAGCGAGACATCGTGAATGGACGGGAAGGGGGGGGGGCTGCAGCACCCCCATCTGCGAGGCTGCAGCAGGCTCCACTAGCACCCCCCCCCCCAAACGTGGCACACCTACAGTGTAAGCGTGCCACAGTTTCGCCGCTGCGAGGCTCTACTAGCACCCCTCCCCCCCCCCAGCGTGTCACAGTTTCGCCGCTGAGACTGTGTGTGTGTGAGGAGCTCCACGGATTGGTCCATTTGGGTATGGTGACGTCACTGTACCCAGGAAGAAAAAGAGAAATGTCCAACGAGGCGTTCTGGGGCAGCATAGACAGGTCTTTTCTGTGTTAGAGTTTTACAGGGTGTACTTTGAGGGTTTGCAGACCGTTCACATGCAGAAAAAGCTTCATAACCAGGGGTCCACATAACTTTTTTGCCCTGGTCCTCAAAGGAGCACCTGGAGATGTTGCTTGGTGCGCATCCTTAAAATGAAATAAACTGAACCTTTTGAGGGGTACTTGACTTTATGAAGTGTTTGTCCTGATCTAAAGTAACACGCTGTGGTGACTCTGCAGGGATGCGTCCGCTGCATTACGCGGCCTGGCAGGGGAAGGCCGACTCGGTCCTGATGCTGCTGCGTGCCGCCGCCTCAGTGAACGGCGTCTCTCTGGACGGACACATCCCGCTGCACCTCGCCGCGCAGTACGGACACTACCAAGTGGTGAGGGAGCAATTTTGTCTTTTATTTAAGTCCTTATGTTCCTTTTTGGCAAAGTAAATATGTGGGTTTTGTGCTACAATATATAACAAAACTGAATTAATAATGATCTTTTTACCTTATTACCTTTTAAGAAATGATATGTTTACAGGGATTATTTAACAAAATCAAATACAGAGAAATATAGTCAGTATAGATAGATTGATGGATAGAAGGATAGATAGATAGATACTAAAACGATATATACATCTTCTCAGTAAAAAACACATATATTCAGAGTATCTAAACACTATAAAATATATGGCAAACATTAGAATACTTTCTTTTATACCAATCTTCTTAACATATAAACATAGTGTACTATTTACATAACAAAATGGTGTACAGCATCTTCAAATTAAAAGTAAAATATATCCTTTTTAGAGATAAACACCTTATATAATCTAGAATAAAACATCTTAGTCAAAGAAGTCCCAAACTTTTTAACCAAATAATGAACTTTGTGCGCCAATAACAAAAGTGTGGGGGAACTACATAAACGAGCTGTTTTTCATTTGAACATAACTCTCTCCACCTTTTGTCAACATGGTTAAAAAAAATTAAGTAAATATCTTGGCTTTTATTTTTCTCATAAAGGCCCCTCTTTATGTTTAATGCATTATTTTATTGATAATTCTGGAAATGACTGCAGTGGAAACTTTTAGCCTGATATACTTCATCCCTAATTCGCCTGTTGGCATCCTTAGCACTGATTGACATGCTGATGGCTCGTTAGTAGACGAGTAGAGTTTGGGGTGTGACCTGGTTTGTGTCTGAGCAGCACAGATGTGAGGGAGGCTTTCACGAGGACACGTGATGTGTATCCCCCTCCACACTTTAACTCTTTATGTTTACACAAAACATGTGATTTAATCTTTATCCAAAAATTGAGACCTTCAACTAAAATATGGCATTGATAGTTTTTGTGTTGTATCTCACATTATTGTCACACAGTATTGTTTGCAGGAAAGCATGAGTAATGTTACTTTTTTTAATTACTTGCATATTTATTTGTATTTCTGTCCTTTGTATAATGTAGTATATTTGAGGTTTTAACATGACTATACATTTAAAGTGAACATAGTATGCTAATTTTCAGGTTCATATCAGTATGTAGAGTCTCCACTGTGACATGTCTCCATGCTTTAATGTTCAGAAAGCTCTTTATTTTTCTCATACTCTGCAGCACCTCTTTCACCCTCTGTCTGAAACCAGAGCCCAGTCTGCTCTGATTGGTTAGCTGGCCGGCTCTGTTGTGATTGGTCAACAAGCACCTTGAGATTACGTTGTTTTTAAAGTGTGCTATATAAATGAAATGTATTATTATTAATGCTGTCAAAATGATCGCGTTAACGGCGGTAATACATTTTTTTAATTAACTGCGTTAAAAAATATTTAACGCATGTGCAGAATAGCCCGCCCCATACATCCCACCAGTGGCGGCACCAGGGTATGGCTTGGGTAGGCTACACCATAGACTGTATATATAAAGGGCTACACCCATACCAAGAAATACCTTAGCCCCACCATGAAAAATGATGTTAAAGTAAGCAAAATAAAGTCTGCCAACTCGTGGAGTAAATTGCACAGACGACAGTTAGTCAGATTGATTTCAGTAGCCACTTGTCTGGAAATACCGAAGACTAGAAACGGTTTTGAAAACTTTTGTCACGTAGTGATCGTCTTCTCAATAGAACATCTTTGATAATGTCTTCTGGCCAATCAGAATCAAGATAACGGCGTGGTGTTGTTGCAGGAAGTCCCGACGCAGAATACCTTTGCTGTAGTACATCTCTATATACATCGATACAACATTACGTGTTGATAGAAATCAACACGTAATGAAATAAGACCCCACGGTTTGATGATTGATAGGTGTGTGGGCTGTCTTTCATTTTGACACGCAGAACAAATGTTATAATAAACATACATACATGTTAAATGGATATATCCGCCTTCTTTCATTTATCTTTCCATTCCCACAACAATATACATAAAGAAATGGCATATTTTAGACATAGTTCGAATGGTGATTAATCATGATTAATTAATTTTAAAGCTGTGATTAATCTGATTAAAATTTGTAATCGTTTGACAGCCCTAATTATTATTATTATTATTATCATAGAAGTAAACAAAGGAGTCCAATGGAAGTGTTTCAGGCAGGGGGGAGTGTGTGGGAGAGAAACTCCCTCTGGAGGGAACACAGGGATTTGAGCCGTTGCAGACCATTGACATGCACACAAACCTATAGAACACACTAAAGGTAAAGGAACACCTACAAAAAGTACATAATGACCTTTTATACATCAATTGATTCATTTAATGATCTATAAATTAATGTGCACATTAATTGAAAATTACAGATATAGATTCATATTTTCTGCAACTTTTTATAGTCCAGACAATCTGCAACAGATTCTTTTAAAGGTGAAAAAGCATCTGCCTGCTTTGATCGTCTGAGATTAGAGATTATATTCTGTTGTCCTTTTTGTATTTTACAGCCACAGTAAACCTGTAAACACAGCTCCAGATAATGCCAGCAGTCTGCCTGAAATCCCTTTTTTGGAGCGTAGTCCAGCCTGCAGGGTTCCCCGCAGAGCGCCATAGAAACACACATGTGTGGACTCCATCCCCAGTGTGCCATGGATATAATCGCCTGATTGGCTGAGAGGGGAGAAACATTATCCACCCCCCCTCCTTCGAGGAGCTCTGCAGGTGTTTCCTCCTGCAGCTTCAGGGTCACGCTAACAGTTTCCCCTCGCTTATTGTCTCAACGCTGAGCAAAGCTAACAGAGAGGACACAGAGAGAAAGTGAAGAAAGTCTTTTTTGGGCCTTTTTTTATGACTCCCCCTTGTTGTTTTTCGGTCATTTTAATGTCTGTTAAATCCCATAAAAACGTGTGTGTGTGTTTTCAGTCTGAGATGTTGCTGCAGCATCAGTCTAACCCCTGTCTGGTCAACAAAGCTAAGAAGACTCCTCTGGACCTCGCCTGTGAGTTTGGAAGAGTCCAGGTGAGAAGGTGTTTTATATGTTTGACATATATAGAGAGTTTTGGGGTCCAAGCAGAACCCTACAGGCAAAAACATACAGTTATATTACAGAGTTTGGGTTATGTTGCTTCCATAGCATGTCTTCTCTCATACTAAAGGAAAGAAAGTTTCCGTAATACACATTTAGGTGCTTCTAACTTTGTCTATTTGTGTATGTACATTCCTCCTAAATCCACCAAAGTAAGCCTTACTGTATATAATGCCTCATTTGTTAATTAAGACATAGTATTTCAGAAAACTTATAATACAAAAAGAATCGTCTTAATATCAATTAAAGCGATGAATTGTATTTGCATTTACATTACATTACAAAGCATTTAGCTGACTCTTTATCCAAAGCGACTTACAATAAGTGCAATAAACCATAAGGACAACAAGAAAAGTGCTGAAATATTTACTCCAAACAAGCAATATCATTGTTATGCAAAAGTAAAACTCCTACTTATTTTATTATTCTCCATTTAATCAACTAGGGAGGTTTCATGGTGATATCTATTCATATTTTCACTCCATTCCCCTGTAGTGAGCACAAAATGTATGAATGTTATAATACATATCTTTTAAAGGCTGTTTTTCTCAAATAAGATTGTTCTCATACCAAACTGTATAGGTGAATTCCTCTATATATTCTGAAGCTCGGATTTATGGAGTGATACAAAAAAATCCTCTCTGTAAAAACATTTGACTCTAATCTGTCATCAAAATGGAACCAGAGTTTGAACCTGGCTTTATCCAATGTTCACATGTGTTCACATTAGCACACGTTTAATGAGATAATGCCTCATTTGCATATGTAAACAAAGCATTTAAGAAAACTTATAATACAAGTCATTATTGTCTTACTGTCAGTAATCATATGGGTAAGTTTCATTGTGATATGTATTAGTTAAAGTTTTGACCCTATCCACATGTAGTGTCTCCTTCAGCGCTGGTCAAAACTCAATCCTAATAAATGAAACTCAGGGAGTGTTAACTGATGGTTGGAAAACACAAAGCCACAGCTGGACAAACACACACACACACACACACACACACACACACACACACACACACACACACACACACACACACACAAGGACAACAAGTGTGTAAACATCTTTCGCTGTCTCCATGTTGATCCCTCAAACCTAGATTTTGTTGCAACAGCTACACAAACAAATCAGGTAGTACCCATAGAGTCCAGTAGAGGGTTACACCTGTGCTTATATAACAAGGGTTACCATATGTAACCCCTCATTTCTTCAATGGTGAAACAAACAGGAACTATGCAGTAGGGGTGTAACGGTACACGTACCCGTACCGAAATTATTCGGTACGGGCCCTTCGGTTCGGTACAGGTGTACGAATATAACGTTAAACGTAAAAAATTGAGAACGTGAACAACTTTTTGGAAGTAATCTCAGGTGCTGCATCGCAGCATTCAGAGTAATTTGCTCACATTGGGTTCAACGCGTCATAGAGTCATTTAATTGGATGAGAGGCATACTATGAGAGCTGGTCAGAGGGATGCGTTCAAATGTAGTCAGTAATTTGAGGAACTGTCGAAAATTAATGGCGAACGCAGATAAAGTTGAGCTGAAAATCCTCCAGCATCATTGAATTCTCCGGTTTGGGAACATTTTGGTTTCGCAGTTACGTACAAGGATGAAGGACAAAGACAGGTGGACCGAACCAAAGCTGTTTGTCGGCATTGTTCAACTAAAATTGGTTACGCGGCTGGCAATACATCAAACTTGCACACTCTTGAAAAGGCATCACCCGAACGTGAATATCACCGGTACCAAAAGGAAAAAAGACTGAAGTGCAAACCCAACTCCCGCTAGCATGTAAGCCTCCACCACTCGCAGAGAGTTCAGACCGAGCCAAAGCTATTACAAACACCAAATATCCTTATGTTGCCATGTTAGCAAAGCGCTACCTGGCTGTGTCTGCTACCTCTGTCCCTAGAGAGGGTGTTCTCCACATCAGGAGACATTGTTAGTGCCAGCAGATCTGCCCTTTCGGCAAGCAATGTGGACAAGTTCATCTTTCTTTAAACAACATGAAAATACAATGACAAGCAAGTCATAATGTCAAGCTGGCTGCTTAGGTACTAGTACAGTTCAGTTCAAATACAGATTATTTCAGTGAATCGAAAAGCTGCACCTTAATGTTTATTATATTTTGTATTTATTTGAGTGAAGATTCACAGTTTAATAAAAAATAAGAAACCCAAAACTAATAGTTTATGTTTTGTGAGTACTAGTACAGTAAAGTTCAAATACAGATTATTTCAGTTCATCGAAATGCTGCACCTTAATGTTTATTTTATTATATTTTGTATTTATTTGAGTGAATACATTATTCACAGTTTAATAATAATAAAAAATATATATATATATGTTTTATTTTGTGAAAAAAAATTCTGCTGTACCGAAAACGTACCGAACCGAACCGTGACCAAAAAACCGAGGTACGTACCGAACCGAAATGTTTGTGAACCGTTACACCCCTACTATGCAGACATAAAGAAATCTAGTAAAATAGTTCAAGGACATAAGGGTCGAATGCAGGAAAAGTTGAATTCATACATATAGTAATGAATATGATAAAGCAATGTAAAACTGCAATAATCTATAATTACGTTATTGACGTTGATTTAATTGCTCCAAATATCTGTGTCTGTAAGCATCGCAGAGAACTTTTCGCTTTATTTTTTTAATGTGAAATCAATTTGATTTGTATACATACAATGCACCTGAAAGAGATGGAAAGAAACATAAATACTAGTCATAAATATTATATATATTATACATCCTGACTAATCCATTTTTGTTTCTGAATCAGGTTTAATTTCAACGTTTTTTACTCACGAGAAATGTGCGGTTTAAATATAATTTTGTATATAAATATACAGGATAAATTACTTCAAATATTAGGCGCATCTTATAGAAATAAACATTTCATTGAAAGATGTGTTTTTTTCTGTCCAACTAAAAGTCCAAAACCCCAAGATATTTAGTTTACTGAGATACTGTATGAAACAAACAAACATTCTTGATAAATGACTTTTAGTTTTAACTAGGGCCGGGACTTTAACGCGTTAATTAAGATTAATTAATTACACAAAAATTAACGCGTTAAAAAAATTAACGCATTTTAATCGCACTTATTTTTGCACCGCGGAACGTTTCTCACTGGATGAGTTTCAGGCGTACCGATTATACTGGAGCACCAACTAACGTTCATGACTTCAGACAACAACAAACCACAGTGAACAACAGTGGGAAATGTTGTTTTAAAAAAACGGACGGATGGAAGCGTCGATAAGAGCACGGTTGTGTGCAAATTATGCAAAAAGGAATTCGCATATCACCGCAGCACATCAAGCCTCAAGTATCACCTCAATGCAAAACATATAGCAGCTGGTGTGGAAGCTAGCGTGGACGTTAGCCTCTTTTATCGCGTTCACACCAAAAAGAGCCGGTACTAAAATTAGTTCATGAGAACCTTTTTACCCCCACGAAAGTCCCTGCTAGAGAGCAGAGAGCTGCTAGAGAGCAGGGACTTTCGTACGGCTCTCTTGTGAGAAAAGAGCTATATTTCTGATTGGCTGGAAGGATTTCAAACCACGCCCCGTAAAACTCCCAAAAAGTTTTGTGAAGCCGCCATTTTATTATCCTCGTATTAGCATTATTAGCATTAGCATTAGCCCAGCGCAGAAACGCAGAGAGACTAATTTATGGCAACACAAAATAAAACATGGGAGCGGTGGAGATGAGGAGGTGTCGGCGTTCTGGCGATTTACTCGGAAGGCTTCAGTAGAAGCTGCTGGGAGTCCCAGCAGCTTCTACTGAAGCCTTCCCCAACTCCGGGGACTTCCGGCCGGGGACTTTGGGTGGTTTGCGGCCTGCCAGTAAACCCAAAGCAGAAGAAGAAGAAGTGACGTCAGCGGCTTCATTTGCCTAATCCACCCCCAGGTTCAAAGAGTTCTCATGGACCAAGTTCTCATGAACCTTTGTGGGAAAAGTACTGCGGTGTGAATGCGCCTAATGGTATACTAAAATCCATGTGAAAAAAATTGCTTCTCACTGTTCTCAGGTCAAATATTTATATGTGATTAAAAATGCGATTAATTTCGATTAATTAATTACAAAGCCTCTAATTAATTAGATTAATTTTTTTAATCGAGTCCCGGCCCTAGTTTTAACATGAAGTCTTTTCTAAGAAGCATGAACACGCACACACACACACACACGCACGCACACACACACACACACGCACACACACACACATGCACACACACACACACACACCGTTATAAGATAAATGTGGTAGAAGTATACAGTACCAGAAATAGAGTACCTTTAATGTATATTTTATGTTAATGTACTTCTGTTTGTCGTCCTCTTTGTTTTGACTCGTGTGCATTTGTTAAATGAGACATGACGGTGAAGTCTGATCTTCAAACAGCTGATACAAAACTCCACTGAGATATCTTTAGTGTGTGTGTGTGTGGTGTGTGTGTGTGTGTGTGTGTGTGTGTGTGTGTGTGTGTGTGTGTGTGGTGTGTGTGTGTGTGTGTGGTTGTGTGTGTGTGTGTGTGTGTGTGTGTGTGTGGTGTGTGTGTGTGTGTTGTGTGTGTGTTGTGTGTGTGTGTGGTGTGTGTGTGTGTGTGTTGTGTGTGTGTGTGTGGTGTTGTGATGTGTGGTTGTGTGTGTGTGTGTGTGTGTGTGTGTGTGTGTGTGTGTGTGTGTGTGTGTGATGTGTGTGTGTGTGTGTTGTGTGTGTGTTATGTGTGTGTGTGTGCTGTGTGTGTGATGTGTGTTGGTGTGTGGTGTGTGTGTGTGTGTGTGTGTGATGTGTGTGTGTGTGTGTGTTGTGTGTGTGTGTGTGTGTGTGTGGTGTGTGTGTGGTGTGTGTGTGTGTGTGTGTGTGTGTGTGTGGTGTGTGTGTGTGTTGTGTGTGTGTGTGTGTGTGTGTGTGTGTGTGGTCGACGGGCAGCTGCTGTGTTTCCATTCTGCTCTCTTCTGTTTCACCTCCTGTTTTAACCAGCCCAGACTTTTGATCCAATCACACAAAACTTTATTCTAAATTGCATTGCTGATAATGATTCATCGTTATGATTTTTCATGCGACACTGTCAGAAAATGCTTTTTCTGTTTTATATCATATTACAATAAATATCTTTGGGTTTTCAATAAAAAAGGACATCATCTTGGATTTTGAGAAAATTGGGTTTTTCTGACATTTTATACCAAACCATTAAGGATCATGCATGCAAATTAGTCGCTTTTCGGCGCATCCCGCTTTTTTAACGCTGATTTGGGTGACTTGTGTAATTCGTGGAGAACCGAAGAGTTTTTGTTTTTGGGGGAGAGGGGGTTTAGTTAAAAACAATAATCTGAATTACCTTTAAAACAAACAAAAAAAGCTTTTTTTCCTATTAAGGAGTTTAAACAGATTTTGACGGAATCCGAAAGATAAAGAAAATGTTCAAAAAAACTATATTAGCTACAACATTTGTTTAAAAATGCACATGTTTTATGTTTAACAAGGTCATTGAATGGTTCACAATATGTGTAGCTGTTGGTGTCTGATGGCAACATTCCTCCATGTTTTTTCAGATAATTATTTTAATATTATATGTATACATTTAACTTTAGACTGTTTAAAATACAGACAAAGGACATAAATATAGAATTACATTTGTTTACAATGTGATCCCCCCCCCTTCAGGTTGCCCAGCTGCTGCTGAGCAGTAACATGGTGGTGGCGCTGTTGGAAGGAGAAAGGAAAGAGCCCACAGACTCCGCCTTCACCACGCCGCTGCACCTTGCCGCCCGCAACGGCCATAAAGACATCATACGGTGAGACAGCCTCCACCCAATTAGCATATAAGTTGCCTTAATTAGCATGAATGGCATCATAGCCGATTTGGAAAATGTTGGAGTGGTTTTGGAGGTTATTGAGGATGCTGAATTCATTTCTGACATTTCAGGCAAAAAAATTGCAGTTTTAACCAGAACATAATAATAAATAATCCTTATATTTATTATAGCGCTTTTTCAATGACTCTCAAAGCGCTCCTTACAAATACACATTACACATACATATCATGGTCATGTACTGTGGACAATACCCACAGGAGCAAATTCAGGTGAAGTGTCTTGCCCAAGGACACAACGGCTTTACAGACGCAGCGGCGGCGGGTTTCGTCCCCTTGATCTGATAATCAAATGTACAGCCCACTGCGCCACCCCACCCGTGGCAATATGTGTTCCTATCCGTGACATATGGATCTTAACAAAGGTCCGCTATATCAGATACCTGTAGAGATCTATCAGCTGTTTATTTCACATGAGTTCCAGTGTGGCAGCTTTTTAATCATTGCTCCCCCTGGTGGATCCATGATCCATTGCAGCTGGTTTCATTATCATTTTATTTATTTATCAAGGGGGCGTATCAAGTCCTGCGGGGGGTTTTCCTTTCAGCAGGGGCCCACCCTGTGCCGATCAGGGGCCCACATGGGTAGGGGCGTCCGAAATGAGGTGCTACATCTGTACAGTAATAATGGCTTTAATGGTAATGAATGGTAAGTCACTATAGGACTCGAGCTGGCAACTACACTAGTAACATCCCGTCCTATTTTTTTAAAGTGTAATGTAATTAAACTTCTCTGCTGCTTCACTGAATATATTCGACTGGGATGAGTTTAAAGGTTCACTTTGATTTTACAAATCAGAGTTGATTCTGACTGAGATAAGGTTTCTTTCCAGATACCGGTTCAGGACTCAAGTTCAGGACTTATTTTCTTTCCTCAGATGTAAGACTCAGATCCAAGACTTAGGTTCAAAGCTGAGCTCCATGACTCTCTGTTTTGTTGCAGTTTGCTGCTGAATGCCGGCATCGACATCAACAAGACCACCAAGTCTGGAACGGCTCTGCATGAGGCGTCTCTGTACGGGAAGACGGAGGTGGTGCGCCTGCTGCTGGACGTGAGTCATCAACTTCTTTTGAAAATCATCCATCATTTTGTGTCCTTAAAATGCAGCAAACTGCATCAAAACACACATTTCTAAATGTAAATGTTTACAATATAATACAGTCATATAATAGTTATCACTTTTAATCACTACTTGAGTTGATTGGAAAGTTTGTTATGCAATAAATGTAATCAAATATTTCACTTAGTCAGTTTGCTCAATGAGTCTAGTTGCCAGCAGTGTGTATAGTACGGGTCCACAGCACATGGAAACTGCCGGGTGCTAACTTGCATATGTTGGGCAATTTGCACAATTAGCATAAGGTGCGTTCATTGAAATTAATTGCATTAAAGCCTATTTAAACATTTGTAAAAAAAGAAAAAATTACGTCGACTTAGTATTGCCCGATGAGGATGCTGAATCCATTTTGGACATTTTCAGGCCTCAACCAAACCCCAGAGGGAAAACTGCAGATTTAGGGCTGATTAGTTTCACATCAAAGGGCTGTAATAAGTATTTTGTCCCTGCAGGCCGGAGTGGATGTGAACATCAGAAACACGTACAACCAGACGGCGTTGGATATCGTCAATCAGTTCACCACGTCGCACGCCAGCAGGGACATCAAGCAGCTGCTGCGAGGTCAGAGAACAACTGAGTACAACTCCTCTGTGTCACCCATTACTTCATATAGAGACAGGACCTGGACCTCCCTAACAAACATACACATAATGAAGAATTTTTAACGATAAGATTTAAAGGTGGGGTAGGTAAGTTTGAGAAACCGGCTCGAGATACACTTTTTGTTATATTCCATGGAATGCTCTTAACATCCCGATAGCAATGAATATCTTAAGTGCTTTCTACAAACTTATCTCGTGCCCTCATTGGTCATGTGCGCGTTCGTGTGTGTTGGAGGAGGGGCTCTGTAAGGAAGTGGCAGATTTTTTCCGGCTGTGTATTTTCAAATCCTAGCGCACTCGAGCTGGTTTCTCCAAAATTACCTACCCCACCATCTCCGTTGCTCAGCCGATTATGTTCGGCTGCTGTTTAGCTCCTAGCCTCTGCCGTCCTTCCATTAGCATAACGAGCTCACAGTTGTGCTCTGCTATCCGCGTAGTTCCCGTTCCTGAATTCTCCGACTGGGCTCCTCTCTGCCACACTCCCAGGACTATCCACGAACCCTCCCTCAGTCCTGCCATACCAACTGGGCTGTTTTCCATCACCGCTGCTGAGGTTCGAGGTCCGGTTTCTGCAGGGCTAATGGTGCTAGCTGCTAGCTGGCTCGCCGCTCTTCTTATGATGCTCCTCCAATACTCCCCGCTGGAACTTCGTAACCTTTTCTGCCACATTATCCCTGACTGCCTCGCAGTTATCAAATCCCTTGGGCTTCTGTGTCGTCCCCGCTACATAAACCGGGCATCCAGATGCACGTTTTTCTACACCGAAACTCCTATCCCCGCAGTGACCATGGATGTATAATAAGAACTGGATACAGCGTGGGAGGCGGGGCCTCATTCATTCCTATGAGAGCTGCTCATTAGCGCATGATGATAAAATGGCCCACCTTTTGAGAGAGTGAAACGTCACAGATTACCCAGCATGCCTGAGAAGTACCCGTATGTGCACTCATAGAGCATGCGCAACTTTAACCAAAATGCTCGTTCACATCAAGCACGTCAATTTGCGTACACGTAACAGCACCGCGCGTTCATGACAGCATGGTAATGGATTGTTGTTATCATGGATTTGATATGAACGAGGCGGCAGTTAGCGGCTAGCTAGTAATGATGCTAATGTGCACATCAATCGTTATGTACTTATATTACGCTGTAACAGGATCTAGTGATATCCAACAGAGCTTCATTTAGCATGAAATAATTATTGCACTGTATATATATATATTTATATACAGTGCAATAAGCTTCTTAGTGTAATACGAAGCTACAGGGACGTTAATCCATCCATCCATCCATCTTCTCCCGCTTATCCGTGGTCGGGTCGCGGGGGTAGCAGTTCCAGCAGAGAGCCCCAAACTTTCTTTTCCCTGGCGACATCAACCAGCTCTGACTGGGGGATCCCAAGGCGCTCCCAGGCCAGCGAAGAGATATAATCCCTCCACCTGGTCCTAGGTCTACCCCTTGGTCTCTTCCCAGCTGGACGTGCCTGGAACACCTCCCTAGGGAGGCGCCCAGGTGGCATCCTAACTAGGTGCCCGAACCACCTCAACTGGCTCCTTTCGACGCGAAGGAGGAGCGGCTCAACTCCGAGTCCCTCCCTGATGACCGAACTTCTCACCTTATCCCTAAGGGAGACACCAGCCACCCTGCGGAGAAAACCCATCTCGGCCGCTTGTATCCGCGATCTCGTTCTTTCGGTCATGACCCATCCTTCATGACCATAGGTGAGGGTAGGAACGAAAATGGCCCGGAAGACCGAGAGCTTTGCCTTCTGGCTCAGCTCCCTTTTCGTCACAACGGTGCGGTAAAGCGACTGCAGTACCGCTCCCGCTGCTCCGATTCTCCGGCCCATCTCACGCTCCATTGTTCCCTCACTCGAGAACAAGACCCCGAGATACTTGAACTCCTTCACTTGGGGTAAGGACTCATTCCCTACCTGGAGTGGACAGTCCATCGGTTTCCTGCTGAGAACCATGGCCTCAGATTTGGAGGTGCTGATCCTCATCCCAGCCGCTTCACACTCGGTTGCGAACCGATCCAGTGAGTGCTGAAGGTCGCAGACCGATGAAGCCATTAGAACCACATCATCTGCAAAAAGCAGTGGTGCAATCCTTAGTCCACCGAACTGCAGACCCCCTCCCCCATGACTACGCCTCTAAATCCGATCCATGTATATTACAAACAGGATTGGTGACAAAGCGCAGCCCTGGCGGAGGCCAACCCTCACCGGAAATGGGTCCGACTTACTGCCGAGGACCCGGACACAGCTCTCGCTTTGGGAGTACAGAGATTGGATGGCCCTGAGTAGAGACCCCCTCACCCCATACTCCCGCAGCACCTCCCACAGTAACTCCCTGGGAACTCGGTCATACGCCTTCTCCAAGTCTACAAAACACATGTAGACCGGATAAGCGTACTCCCAGGCCCCCTCCAGGATCCTTGCGAGAGTAAAAAGCTGATCCGTCGTTCCACGACCAGGACGGAATCCGCATTGTTCCTCCTCAATCTGAGGTTCGACAATCGGCCTGACCCTCCTTTCGAGTACCTTAGAGTAAACTTTCCCGGGGAGGCTGAGTAGTGTGATGCCTCTGTAATTGGCACACACCCTCTGATCCCCCTTTTTAAATAGGGGAACCACCACCCCGGTCTGCCACTCCTTCGGTACTGTTTCCGACTTCCACGCAACGTTGATGAGACGTGTCAACCATGACAGTCCCTCAACACCCAGAGCCTTCAGCATTTCTGGGCGGATCTCATCCACCCCCGGGGCTTTGCCACTGTGGAGTTGTTTGACGACCTCAGTGACCTCCCCCCGGGAGATTGGTGTTGATCCCCCGTCATACTCCAGCTCTGCCTCTAACATAGAGGGCGGAGTTGTCGGGTTCAGGAGTTCCTCAAAGTGTTCCTTCCAACGCCCTAACACTCCATCAGTTGAGGTCAACAACGTCCCATCCTTACTGTACACAGCTTGGATGGTTCCCTGCTTCCCCCTCCTGAGGTGTCGGACAGTTTTCCAGAACAACTTTGGTGCCGCCCGAAAGTCCTTCTCCATGTCTTCTCCGAACTTCTCCCACACCCGCTGCTTTGCCTCGGCCACGGATGAGGCTGCTGCCCTTCGGGCCTGTCGGTACCTTGCAACTGCCTCGGGAGTCCCCCGGGATAACAAATCCCTGAAGGCCTCCTTCTTCAGTCGGACGGCTTCCCTGACCACCGGTGTCCACCAGGAGGTTCGAGGGTTACCGCCCCTTGAGGCACCTAGGACCTTGAGACCACAGCTCCCCGCCGCGGCTTCGGCAATAGAGGCTTTGAACACCGACCACTCTGGTTCAATGTCCCCAACCTCCACAGGAATGCCCGAAAAGCTCCGCCGGAGGTGTGAGTTGAAGGCCTCCTGAACTTGGGCCTCCTCCAGACGTTCCCAGTTCACCCGAACTACACGTTTGGGCTTACCAGGTCTATCCAGAGGCTTCCCCCGCCACTCGACCCAACTCACCACCAGATGGTGATCAGTTGACAACTCCGCCCCTCTCTTTACCCGAGTGTCCAAAACATACGGCCTCAGGTCCGATGATACGATAACGAAATCGATCATGGACCTTCTGCCTAGGGTGCTCTGGTACCACGTACACTTATGAGCATCCTTATGTTCGAACATGGTGTTTGTTATGGCCAATCCATGACTAGCACAGAAGTCCAGTAACAAACCACCACTCCGGTTCAGATCAGGGGGGCCGTTCCTCCCAATCACGCCCCTCCAAGTGTCTCCATCATTGCCCACATGTGCGTTGAAGTCTCCCAGCAAGATTAAAGAGTCCCCTTCAGGAGCCCCATACAGGACTCTTTCCAGGGGTCTCCAAGAAGGCCGTATACTCTGAACTGCTGTTGGGTGCATAAGCACACACAACAGTCAGAGTTTTCCCCCCCATAACCCGCAGGCGTAGGGAGGCGACCCTCTCGTCCACTGGGGTAAACTCCAACAAAGAAGCACCTAACCGGGGACTTGTGAGTATCCCCACACCCGCCCGGCGCCTCACACCTTGAGCAACTCCGGAGAAGAATAGAGTCCAACCCCTATCCAGAAGTAAGGTTCCAGAGCCGACGCTGTGCGTAGAGGTGAGCCCAACCAGATCCAACTGGTAACGCTCCACCTCCCGCACAAGCTCCGGCTCCTTCCCCCCCAGAGAGGTGACGTTCCACGTCCCCAAAGCCAGCTTCTGTCGCCCGGGTCTGGTCCGTCGAGACCCTCCGCTTTCACTGCCACCCTTCTGGCAGCGCACCCGACCCCATTGATGTTTCCCGTAGGTGGTGGGCCCGCGGGACGGAGAAGCGGAGGTGTTGCCCACGTTGCCTTTTCGGGCTGGGCCCGGCCGGGCTCCGTGGCAAGCCCGGCCACCAGACGCTCGCCGACGAGTCCTCCTTCTGGGCCTGGCTCCAGAAGGGGACCCCGGGCTTCCTCCGGGCCGGGTATCCTCACTTCTTGTATCGTCTTTCATGAGGTCTTTTGAACCAATCTTAGTCTGGCCCCTTGCCTGAGACCAATTTGCCATGGGAAACCCTACCAGGAACACAAGGTTCCAGACAACACAGCCCCCAGGTTCATCAGGGCACACAAACCTCTCTACCACGGTAAGGTGCTGGTTCTTCAGAGAGGACGTTAATAATGTCGGTAATATTAACTTTATTTAATACAACATTTACGGTACAAGATTTAATCATACAGCCCATGTAGTATGATAATGAATTACAGCAAACATGTGCAATATATCCATTATTACAGCTCCGTGGGATGGCAGTAAGACGATATGGATCCGTTCTTATTGTGCATCCATGGGTAAAGATAAACGCAACTCACATTGGTTCCTCATACAGCATCTCTGTAAACTACGTGTATTCACTGAATTTCACTCTCTGCCTTTAACGGCTCGTTGTAGCTCCAATAGCTCCAGCCCCACCCTCCCTGGGAGCACAGTGTGCTCTGATTGGTCGGGACACGTAACATGAACGTGCCGGGCGGCGCGGTCCCGTGGGTTAGATGCGCCTTCATAATGCAGAGGGAAATAACTCTCAGAATAACGTTATTAGCACATTTTTACAACTTGAGGAACGAATGTTTTTAATAAGGGCTATACAAGTGTTCATACTGGGTAGTTTATTTAGTTTAAAAAAAATTATCCAACGAGTTACAGACCACTCTTTCCCCATGTAAGTCAATGGGAAAAAGTGTTTCCGGGCCTGGCAACCAAACGGAAGTGTAGTACCGCCGTTTGGCTAGCACGAATATTTTCATCTGAGTCCGGCGCACTTCCTGGGGGCTTGGCAGTGACAGACGGTCTGTCGCACGGCGATGTCGTCATCACAACAAACGACGTCATCCGACCAAACCTCCCGTTCGCTCTATCTACCTGAGGTCCCTGGCCTGTGCTGACAGTGTGCTAGTTTCTCCCTCCTTGTTCCCCCCAGCATCTATGAACAACCATGTGACATTTATGCTGCTGAATTACCGCTCCCTCAACAACAAAGCACTACTCATCCACGACATTCTCACTGACAGAAGCATTGACATCCTTTGCTTAACAGAGACATGGCAAAATCAGCAGGACTTTGTGACACTCAATCAAGCCACACCCCCAGGCTATCTGTACATCCAGAAGCCCCGCTCCCTGGGTCGTGGCGGTGGATTGGCTGTTATCCACCGAGCTGGCATCCTGGTTAAAGAACTCCCAGTACCTACTACCACCTCATTTGAGTGTGTTGTCTTCAAACTGGCTGGGTCTGCTCCGCTCCAGGTTGCCCTCATTTACCGCCCACCTAAAGCTTCCAATACCTTCCTGTCTGAGCTGTCTGAGTTACTCACCTCTCTCTGCTCCATGTCTCCATCAACTCTCCTGCTCGGTGATTTTAACATTCACGTGGACTCCAGTAATTGCACATTCGCTGCTGAATTCCTCTCACTTCTGGACTGCTTCAGCATCAAGCAACATGTCCAAACTATTTTTGGATGGACACTATAATTTACAGTTTTCAATCTGAATTTTCTTTAAAATAAAAAACATCTATATTTATTCTGACTTTTCTACATCCAACTCACAGGTTTATCATTACTTTGAGAAAAAAGATTATTAATGTAACCCTTTTAGAAGGGAAGATATGGTCATTTGTTCTGGGAATGTCATTTTCGAGCCTGAGACCTGAAAAACAGGCTCAGGGCTTAACAGGTTAAGGAAATAAAATGTGTTTTTTAACTGTGAAATGGAATTGAGGGTTTTTGTGAATGTCTTGCAGGAGACTAACAAAACATTTCTCCAAAGCAAGAAAACACTCATTAATATTCTCAGTAATAAATGCAGATATTTTTTTACATGAAAATCTTCTTTATGTTGCCCCAGAATTCATGCAAACAGCAGCTACTCCAAACACCAAACTTTCCTCCTCTTTCGTTCTTTACTTCATTTTCCCTCTTCTTCATGTCTCTCACACCTCTCTGCATTTGGGCTCCTTCACCTGAGCTCTTTAACATGTGGGGTTACATAACGTTGGACTCTTATCAGGTTCTCACAACTTCAAAGAGCAGACTCCCATTCAGCCGTGTGTGTGTGTGTGGTGTGTTGTGTGTGTGTGTGCTGTGTGTGTGTGTGTGTGTTGTGTGTGTGTGTTGTTGTGTTTGTGTGTGTGTGTGTGTGTGTGTGTGTGTGTGTGTGTGTGTGTGTGTGTGTGTGTGTGTGTGTGTGTGTGTGTGTGTGTGTGTGTGTGTGTGTGTGTGTGTGTGTGTGTGTGTGTGTGTGTGTGTGTGTGTGTGTGTGTGTGTGTGTGTGTGTGTGTGTGTGTGTGTGTGTGTGTGTGTGTGTGTGTGTGTGTGTGTGTGTGTGTGTGTGTGTGTGTGTGTGTGTGTGGTGTGTGTGTGTGTGTGTGTGTGTGTGTGTGGTAATCCTGCAGTCTTTTGAAGTTCCTGTGGGAACACACTGAGGGAGTAATGAGCAGCTTGTGATTTAAACATGCTGCAGTTTGTTTACCGCTGCAGAGGTCCCGGCGCTTTAACAGTAGCAAATAACTTTTTTTATATAACTTCGAAAAGATAACTTTTTATTATACAGTACATTAAGAATAACATAACAAAAAGGCTGCCGTAACATCAATACCATTATTTGGCTAATTTCAAACATACATTGCACAAAATAACTGTAAAACGGGTGAATTGTGTAATTTTTCACTAAATCATAAATAAATAATGCTTTTTAATCCTTAATCTATTTAATTGTAAAAAAAAATGGTCTACATGTAGAATTTAGGCAGCATTTTCAAATAATATGGGTAAAGAGGGATTTAAATCTGGACAAATAAAAGGAAGGTTGAGTTTTGATAAAGATTTTGGATATATTTATAAAATTCTAAAAGTTCTGAGCTACTTCCTGCCCCCCAAAATCCTTTATTATTATTTAGTTTTTTAAATATACACAAAATCAGCCATACCGTTTGAAATAATAAAAAAGACATGAAAAACAAAAAGTGAAAAAACATCAACCTCAGAGGATAACACAAGTTTATTAAAGTACATAAACTGTTACCATCCCTAAGTGATGATTTAAAAAAATGTTTTGTTTCCTGTTCAGATGCGACGGGCGTCCTGCAGGTCCGAGCGCTGAAGGATTTCTGGAACCTCCACGACCCGACGGCTCTCAACATCCGCGCCGGGGACGTCATCACGGTGAGATTCAGTCTGCAGAGGAAAACGCTCGAGCTTTACTGCCATTTAGTCACCATTAGTCAAAATGTGTGTCAGCTATTATAGAATAAGAACTTTCCTGTGTCTTATGTTCTCTTTTAGTCATCACATCGTCTTGAACATCTCAGCCAATCAGGTTAAGCCGTTAAAATGTGTGAGGTGTAATGACACTTGACACAAAAGCTTGTTGACGAAATCAACACTGGAAGTACTAAAGTAGTGTACTTTAGAACAAATTTGAGATACTTGTAATACACTATTTTATACTACTTTAAACTTATACTCCCCACATCTTAGAGGACATTTCTACTTGAAAAATGTACAAAACTTTCAAAATAAAATGCCAGTCTGCAATTTTAACCTTTATTGTGGGAACAAGTCAGCTCTGAGGCAGGCGGAGACAAGTCCACACACACACACACACACACACACACACACACACACACACACACACACACACACACACACACACACACACACACACACACGGTCCTTGAACTCTGTCCTATATTTGATTCATCACACTTGATTCAGAGTTTCCTGACTCACATTAAAAATGGATTGTGATGAAATGTGTATTTTCCCGAAAAAAATCTAGATTTTTGAATAAAAGAGAATTACAGATAATAGTCAAAACATGTACAATATATATTAATCTAAATGCAAGCTGTATAGAAAAGAAATACAACAATATTACTATAAAATAATTACTAATATATCCTAAAAAATGAGATACCCCACCCGTGAATGTCTGAAGCTATGTGTCATGGAAACAGTGGTGGTGATCAACAATGCTAATTAACGTCATCACGCTAAACCTTAGCCACCTTCAGCTTAGCGGTGTTGGCGTGAAGTCATGTGATTTATGTTTCAAAAACCATGAAGTGGGGTTAATATCTGGATATTAGCTTGTTCAATAAAACATGTAAATATCATAAACGTTTGTTTGCCAGAGTGCCGTATTCTGCAATAATCCCAAATCCAACCTGAATATGCCTTTGGCTCTTTGTGGAGGGAACCAGGGAGATGCTAATTTCTTGTGTGGAGATGGGAGGAAAGCTAATATTTACTTATTCACAAACCAGGCACCTGAGGCCCCTTTTGACCCGTCTCGTCCCCTGCAGGTGTTGGAGCAGCATGTGGACGGACGCTGGAAGGGCCACATCCACGACACCCAGAGAGGGACGGACCGCGTGGGCTTCTTCCCCCCCTCCATCGTGGAGGTCATCAGCAGGAGAAACGGTCAGTCTCACAGACAGGACCTCCAAAATTAGACTGACACTTAAAATAAATGAATTCCCACTGAAGACTATACAAATATATGGCCTCAGAAATGTCCTTAAACAGCTGCTGCTTTGTATGGAAGCACATTTTGGCCAAAATAATAACTTTGTATCTCAAAATCATGACTTAGTTTATCAAAATCATGACTTAGTTTATCAAAATAATGACTTAGTTTATAAAAATAGCGACCTAGTGTCTCAAAATAATGATTCAAATGATCAAAATGTTGTCTTATTATCTCAAGATAATGACTTAGTAACTTGAAAAAGTATGATGTTTTTGTTAAGGAATACATCTAAAAATATTGACTTAGTATCTCAAAATAAAATAAATGAAAATAATGACTTTAAATAAGGTTTTGAATACTTTGTGTACTAGGCGCCCCCCCTATACATATTCATCCATTCTACGATCAGTGTTTTTTGTATTTATTTCCACCTCACTTCAGCCTTATAGCAATTTATTAGAGCTGCAACAGTTGGTAAATAAATGTTTTTGCGAAATTGTCTTTAAGTCTTTCAGGCACTCAAATATGAGGATTTTCTACGGAGCCCTGGAGGGTTCATAGAGAAAATAAATAAATAAAACGAGGCCACGTTTTATTAATTTGTGCGCACGAGATGTAATTCGTGGCCTCAATTTAAATAAAACGTTAAAAAAAACGTGGCCTCGTTTTATTTATTTGTTCTCTCTATGAACCCTCCAGGGCTCCGTAATTTGCTGCTTTTCTTAATTTTATATTATTTTAAAATGATAATCTTAGTGTTTCCGACTGGCAGACGTTTAAAGACCTCACATTGGTCTTTAAGAAACTGGGATGGAAATGTTTTACTTTTTCTGACATTTTATAAGCCCTGATCTAAAAAATAAATAAATTGTAAATGGAAAAAATTGGTAGCATAAATACTATAACAAATACAAACAGTATATCTGAATTAAGGTCAAAGGTCTATAGAAGATAATTAAAATACCACCAATAAAAAAATTACTATAAAATGTCTAAAATATATTTTATGAATTCAAATTAAAGTTTTAGATAAGAACATACACATTTAAAATATTAAAAGATACTATACAGCAGGAGTTCTAATTTATGCATTTTAAACATATTACACATGAGACCTTTATCACCTCATATAGGATGCGCTGTAGATCTAAAGTCGCCATTTTCCGTTAGAAACTAATCTGCCTGCTTCCAGAACCATCCCATGCTTCCTCCTCCTCCTCCTCCTCCTCCTACTCCTCCCCCCTTCCCCCTGCATCCCTCCACCTCCCTTCATTCCACATAATGACTGACCACCACCTCTAACCATCAGCTTGATAACCCCCCCTCCTCCATCCCTGGTCCTCCCTGTAGGGGGCACCCTGTCCCGGCACGCCTCTCTGCCCACCACGCGCCAGCAGCAGCTCTCCAGAGCCCCCCTCTCCTCCAGCCTCAGCTCCGCCCCTCAGACCGACGACTCCTACACCCTGTACGCACCCCCTACCCACGTGGTGCTGCCGCTAGCCAACGGCCTCACTACCAACACAGGTATACACTCACTCAGGACTCACTGGTCATACTGTAGACTGTTTAAAGGGTCCCGTGCTTATCCAGAATCTTAATCTTAAAACCCTTTTAATGGGACATTTTGGATGTCTTAAAGTGGGGTTTAATTACTTCTCCATAGTCAGTGTATTAACAATTAACAGGAACTAGCTCAAAGTTCACTCTTCAAAGATTCAAATGAACTAATTCACTTTCATAATTCACAATTTTTTTCCCCCCCAAAAAGTACGTGTTAAATGTTTTTGTTTATTTAAATAAGCCATTCCGAGCTATTCTTTACCAGTAGAACCTCGTCCTCCTAGACATCCAGCCACGATGATTTCCTCTGCCCACTTCCTAACCTTATCATTTATTGCATACTATACAATCACAGGCAGAGATGACAAGAAAAGGGAGTTTAGGTTTTACCACTCAAAACAATGTGTTTTATTGTGCAGAAATGAGAAAAAAGGTGCAAGCTATACCCTATCCAGGATTATAATGTGTCCTTGCCTATCCAGGATCTGTGATGCGCCTTTAAAGGAATCATTTGGATGTGTTTAAGTGAGGTTGTATGAGGAACTTCTGCATCTACATATTAAATATAGTAGATTACATTTGTAGAAACCGACAGGAGTACCAGCAAAACATAACACTTCAGTTCACACAAATTAAAATGAGCTAGTTGCTATTGAGCATCTTGAGGCTTATCCGTTTCAATAGCCATCCATCCCCCAAAGATGGCTTTTTCTCTCCCCACTTCCTGAGCTAAATAAATGAATCTACACCACTTATAATCATAGACGGAGTGTGTCAGTGTATAACCTACAGTAGATGTTGTTTGTAGATTCAGACAGGAGTAGCAGCAAAGAGCTATGCAATGAACTGCTGCGGACGTTTTTGCATTTTAGTGAATTGGAAAAAACAGTAATTTCACCTCCCAGAAGATGGGGCTGCTGGTCTACTTCTGCCTCCAAAGTCCAAATCAGATTCAAATGCATTTTGGAACCAACTTGGAAAAGGTGGCTGGCACCCCTAACTTAAAAACATATTGACTGATTTATTGATTACATTTTGAGTAATCGAGGATTTGTCCGACTTTCCCTCATAACTAAGCTTAAAATGTGCCTAACCCTAACCCTGATACATGTGTTGTTCTCACCAAGCTTCTGGATCTAAACATTTCACAAATATTTCTGGATGAATTTGCTGCAATTTTCCTGTAAACCTGAATGTTTCTAAAAAACAATTCAAAAATGAAGAGGAAGTCCTGCACTTTTTCACATTCAGCACCAAGTGTTTTCCCTTATTTACCTTCTAGAAGCCCCCTGTAATGAAATAAGCAGAAATATACTTAGTTATGAGATTTAAGCTGTTTAGGCTTCTTCAAATATTTTTTTTTTGCATTGCCGATAATCAACCTGATTACTTTATATTGAAAGGAAACCACATTTTGATTAGACTTACTATGAGATAATTCATCAGTGTGTGTGCTTCGATCCCTAACCCGGATTCAAACCCCAAGTATCTTCACTAATCTGCATGAAGAAGAAATCTTTCTTTTTCATTTCTGCTGTAAGAGTCCCAAAACAAAGACCCGGTAGATGCTAATCTAATCACAGTCCGCCCCCCCACGACAGAACGCAGTCCATCAGAGTCTTTGTGTCCGATAGGTTTGTCTCCGGGCCGCCTTTCTCAGTCTGGGTGTTATTTCGAGGACATCTGGGTCCTCAGAGACTCGTGTCATGGTAAGAGTCCCCGAAACGATAGCTTCCCCCCCCCTGGCTGTTCTGAAGCTGCCTCGCTGCCCCGCTCCACGCTCTGCATCTGGACCCCACACACCAAGACATTTTAAACAACTATGATCTACAAAATGTGACCAATCTGACCTCAAGTCACTTCACGTCACGTCTCTTTACATTATCTCCTGACACCTCATGTTGCTTTACATTATCATGATCATTACTGTACTTTACAATATCTCATGTCACTAAAGATGACTTATTTCCCCCCACGTCACTTTACATGATCTTACTTCGCATGTAGTTAAAGGTCCCATGTCATGCTTTTCTGGTTATTACCCGTCCCCTTGTGTGTTATGAAGGTTTTTCTGCATGTAAACGGTCTGCAGAGTCACAAACCCTCAAAGTACACCCTGTAGCGAGTAAAACTCTAACACAGAGAAGACCTGTCTGTGCTGCCCCAGAACGCCTCGTTGGACATCTCTCTTTTTACATTGTTTACTTCTTGGGTATAGTGACGTGTTTCGGGTATAGTGACGTTACGTCCGCGCCGTTACGTTTGAACAATCCGCGGACTTCCTCACACACACACACACTCGGCGGGACGTTGCGAGGCTCGCTGCTGCGAGGAGCGGACAGTGTGAGCTGGCTCACTGGTGTGGGGTCAGCGAGACACCGCGGAACTCAGCCTGGGCACACACACAAACTCCCAGCCAGGCTGTGGGTGTGTGTGTGTGTGTTCGGGCTGGGTTTCGCTGTGTCTCGCTGTCTCGCAGACGGCCACTGGGCTCACAGGGAGGGGGGGGGGGGCAGGAGCTCCAACAAGCCGTTTAGGACAGAGAGTGAATACATGTACTTTACAGAGATGCTGTGTGAGAAACCAATGTGAGTTTGGAAAGTTGCACAGTATAAATGTATTCTAGTAGACCTCATAAATGGAATTATGATCAGTAGAAATGGCCGTGACATGGGACCTTTAAAACATTATCTAATTGTATTATCACATTTTCTTACCGCGCTTCAAATGACTTGCTTTACATTATATCACATCACTTTGCATGATTCTATACACCCCCAATGTCCCTTCACCTTATGTATTGTACTATTTCATGTTATCTCATGTTATTTCACATCATCTCAAATTGCTCCATGTCACTAGATATCTCTTCACATTATCTCATGTCACTTCCCATTGTCTCTTTTGCTTAACATAATCTCATGATGCTTCACATCATCTCTAGACTCTTCATATTGTTTTTTTTTGCTTCACGATAACACAAGTAGCTTCATATTGTCTTCCATTGCTTCACATCATCTCTCATTTGCTTCACATTATCCAATTTTGCTTCACAATATCTCACATCTCTTCATATAATCTCGTATCATTTGACATTAAATCATGTCACTTTGAATGAAGTCGTACTGTTTCACATTATCTCATGTCACTATACATTATCATATAGTCTTTTACATCTCACGTCGCTTCACATTTTCTGACATCGACTCACATTATCTCAAGTCTATTCACATTATCCCACACAGCTTCACATTTCCCTTAACCTCCTGTTTTTTCACATTCAATCAGATCCCCTCACAACACTGAAGCAGTGTCCAATGATTTCCTGATGTTGCGGCACGTCGTGCCATTTTGCCTTGTTTCATCTTACGTCTTGTCACATCGTGGACACATGCTAGAATGTATCTACTGAACATCATTATTGTCAAGTGCTTTATGAAACCTCTAGCAAGACTCGATGACAACCCTCCTAACCTTAACTATTTGATGTAATTGAGTAACCCTTATCTTCATGCAAGGGTTTCGGAAGTCAAGGATCCAATATAAACACAGACTACTTTTGGTGGCACATTCTATCATTGACCTTCCTTATGGGCTAAATGAAACACAAACTCCCTGAAGGTGACGGTTTGAACACAAACACTCCCGTGTGCTTGGTGTGTCGGGTCCAAACACTCTGAATGATTCAATGCTTCATGCTAAACCTGCCGTCAGTGCGTCTGCTACCAGTAATCCCTGTTGTTGTATTAACTGGTGCCACTTAGCATTTCATCTAAACCCTCAAAATGTTGAGAGCTCAGTAAGTGGCGAGGAAAGTAGAATCTGCTATGAGTTATTATCCATTATTAACGATGAATTATATTATTGTGCGTCTTCACCGAAGCAACTGCAACAAATGCTGATCCCTTCACATGTTCAGCACTCTACACTCCACTGGGAACCACTATGAGTTCAACATCCGGGTATTTAAAGTGCACTTTCACATACTTGTATCTGTGAAAGCACTCAAATGATCAAGGGTTAGGTCTCATGCTGGACACTGGAAGGGAAGGGACTTCACGTCTGTTTTTAATAATAATAATGTTCTGTCTTTAAAGCGTTACTACACATTAATGGACTCGTGCCTGCAGCTGTGCTCCCCTGCTCAGCTTTTAGACCAGACACTTGCATTTGCCCGGCACCCCCCTCCTCGCTCCTTTTCCCCTGCAGGCTTTTGACCCCGGCGAAGAGCATCTGCTGCTCCCCCCCCACTCCCTTCTAGACATCAGGACTTTATTTTGTTTTTTGTTTTGCAGCTGGAGACAGAAACAGCGTCGGGAGCACCGGCAGTGTGGGCAGCACCCGGAGTGCCGGCAGCGGACAGAGCACGGAGAGCACCAACGCTCCAAACGGACTGCAGCACCACGCCGTTCATCACGACAACACCCACAAGGTACTAGCATAGATGGCGTGCGACATTCCGGCAATTTCTTTTCTACGAGTGAGGACAAATATATTCCCAGAAGCCTTGACGATCAGATCATCATAAGAGCGCATGTCATGCAAGAAAGCCACAGTAAGAGAAGTGCAGGAAAGAGTCCTAAAACCGAGAAGTTGGTTAGCAATCCAGCCCTTCCTGTTCCCTCATCTTGAAGTCAATGGTTTTTTTATCAGATTTTGTTTAGACAACAAAGATGGGTGAAGGATGATTTAAAAACAGTTAGTTACTGTAATACAAATATAAATAATAAAGACGTTGTTTTAATTAAAGGGTTTCTATAATTATGCATATCTTACTATATACACAGACACACAGTTTAGTACATATTGTAACACAACAGCATTTGCACTGCAAAATGTTGCTAGAACATAAAGAAAGTTGGAAAAAACATTTATAAAGTAAATAATTAACAGAAAAATATAACCACTCAGTATCTTATTTCAGGTGTTTCTCTTTTCATTCATGGGTAACATGTGTTTATATTGCAAGCAAATAAGATAAAAACTAAGAGTGTACGTATTTGAAATATCACAATGCATTTGACCAAATTCATTGATATGGATATAGAGATAATATTGTACGGTTAACTTTTGGTGCTTTCATTAAAACATGTGATTTGTGATTAACAATAATCAGCGATGTGAACGCAATGACTTAGATTGTAGGGTATGGGGTAAGTTGCCTCCAACAATGTGATGTAAAATAGTGCGATAGACATAACCGTGTAAAATGCAGGAATAAGAAAATATATGTGATAAAACAGAATGTGAAACTAAATACTGCACAGTAGAATGAAGTCCTTTATATTATAATATTATATAAAAATAATATGTTGACTCTAAACAGATAAATAAGACTAGCTTAGTGGCCTGTTTCACTCATCATATTATCACATTATTAAAGTTTCTGTTTCTTGTAGAAGGTCAATTGTTCTTGTTGTTTTGTTGTGTGCAGCCGGCGCCCCCTGCTGTGGACTCTGGACTCTCAGACGGCAGCAAACAGCCAGATCAGTCAGGTGTGTTTCAACAGTCCTGCCCTGAACCCAGAGGGCAGTGTGATGCAGGCATAATGAAGTGTTTCTGTTACTGAGGAGCTCCTGCTTACTCATTTCACATTTTCTTTCCATTTCACATTTAAGAAAGGAATTAAGAATAAAAAGGGGGTTATCATATACATTTTAGAATTGTATCAGCCCCTTTCTCTCTTGAAAGGTTTACCATCACATTGATATTTAGTGGCAAGACTTTTCATGCATATGATCATTTTCAGCATTACGTCATCTTTTTAACCCAGGTATTAATGTTGTTGGTTGTGGCTCATCTGTTTTAAGTTTCTTTTGTGATATAACCTCTCAAAATGCATTAATAACAAAACTACAAACTACTGTTTTTGTCACATTGGGGTGCAATATTCAAACCATTTATTTGACAACATCTGTTACGAATTTGTTGAACTTTTGTGACATTTTGCGGTCTCTCCATGGCTGCAGGTGGGACCGCTCGCAGGCAGACGGTGACGGTGCAGAGACCGGCGGAGCAGGGCTTCACGCAGCAGTTCGTCCGCCCTCAGCAGCTGCTGGAGGGGAAGGTACAGACACTTTAATCATCTCAAAGATTCAAAGGCTTTAATGTCATATGCACACAAGCTGCAGTCAAGAAATGGAAATGCAAATCTTAAGTCCTGAGAAACAAATGAAAAAATAAGAATTGTATAAAAATAGTGCAAGCAGAAACAGAGTAGAATAAAATAGTGCAGATTATGTTGCAGCCCAATGTGCAAGTAATGCAGATGAAGTAAACTATATACATGTCATAAGCATACTTAATACAATAAGCTGAATAATGCAGAGAAGTAAATGCAGGAGTCTATATACATGTAAATAGAATAAGATACAAGAACAGAACATAACGTTTAATTTTGTACAGTCAAAACAATTAAATACTGTTTATTACAGTGAGAACAATTTTGATGAATAAATTGTCAGATGCAAACAGATGAATGCTTTAGGTAATGGAGGCACTTAAAGGGCCATGTCATGCTTTTCTGGTTATTACCCGTCCCCTTGTGTGTTATGTAGCTTTTTCTGCATGTAAACGGTGTGCAGAGTCACAAACCCTCAAAGTACACCCTGTAGGGAGTAAAACTCTAACACAGAGAAGACCTGTCTGTGCTGCCCCAGAACGCCTCGTTGGAGATTTCTCTTTTTCCATTTGTTTCTTCCTGAGTATAGTGACGTAAGCTTCACAGTGACGTAACGGCTCAGTGTGAGTTTGTGTGTGTGCTTAGGCTGAGTTCAGGCTGAGTTTCGTGCAGTGTCCGAATTACCCATTTGCTTTCGGGGGAGCCCTATTTTTCAGTGCACATCCTGCTACTAAAGGCCTCTCCCTCAGTGTGGAGCTGTCAACTTGACCCAACTAAAAGTTGTTCTGCTCACGTTGTCATTTTTAGACTCCTTCTTTGCTTGTGAATTCAAAAGCTGCAAGGCTTGGCTGTTTTCGTTTTGCCATACTTTTTATTACAAAGCCAGAGTTAAAAAAATATCAATATGAAAATGTAAAATACCAAGCCGGTATCGCCACCGTAACCATAGCAACGTAAGTAGCGTAAAGAATGCAGCGCCGCCACGTACAGATGGCAACACCCAGAAATATTCACAAATGTAAAACAAATATTCAGAAACTGTAATGAACAATGACTATTATTTATTTCAAGACATTTTATTTACAGAAACTCAACATTTCTAATCTGTGTGACACAAATATGCATGATCTTTTTTTGGGCTCCCCCTATTTATCTCAAAGTCGGCCTTCAGGGGAGCTCCCCCCCATTTCGAACAGTGCTTTTGTGCTGTCTCGCAGACCCCACGCAGCAACCAGGAAACGACACCAGTAATCCAGCTCACACTGTCCGCTCCTCGAGCCTCAAAGGGCGGAGCAGCGAGCCCCGCAACGTCCCGCCAACACGGCACCCAGACCCCACACAGCATTCTCATCTGTTTGTCATTACTGGTGTCCTTTTCTGGTTGCTAACAAACGCCATTGTAACACATAATCACTGATGCTCCGCTGTAACGGTGGTGGACTGATCAGAACAGAGTGGGAGAGCTGACCAATCAGAGCGCAGTGGACTCATAGGGAGGGGGGGGCAGGAGCTCCAACAAGGCGTGTAGGACAGAGAGTGAACACACATACTATACAGAGATGCTGTATGAGAAACCAATGTGAGTTTGGAACATTGAACAGTATAAATATATTCTAGTAGACCTCAACAATGGAATTATGATCAGTAGAAATGGCCAAACATGGGACCTTTAACAGAGTTCAGGTGTTTAATAGTCTTATTGCCTGTGGGATGAAACTGTCTCTGAGTCTGGTGGTTTTAGTCCGGAGGCTACGGTACCGCCTGCCAGACGGCAGCAGACAGAACAGTTTGTGGCTGGGGTGATTGTGTTAATAATCATTTTCTATTGACTCAAATTAGAAGTTGTTGTCAAAATTGTACATTTGTGACTTCAAGTAAACATTTGTAGGGGTTGTATGGGTTTTTTGTACAAATGTATTTATTTTTTGATCTCAGAAAATATCACATTTTTGTGTCTAAATGTATGAATTTATACTCAGTTTTTTCTTGTAAATGAATTATTTCAATCTAAGAGAATTTCATTTTTATTTCTTGCAAATATATGACTTTATAATCTCAGAATGTACCATAGAAGGTACTTCTATAAATGTACCACCTAAAATATCCTTGTTTATTTCCTGTTCATTAGCAAAACAAATCTGTAAATTAAGCACTTTAGTCAGAGTTAATTGAAGATCACTTATGTTGATTTTTTTCTCGCACAATTTCTGACATTATATTCTCAAATATTAGAGTTTTTTTCTTGTAGATTTAATCCTATTGAATACTTTATAGAAGAGAGAGAATTACCACTTGTTTTGAAATCCATTTCCTAATTTACTTTCAGATCTGTTTTTTGGATTTCTTTTCCCTTCCATGTCTTCCATTACATTTGTCTTTTCCATCATAGACTTAAGAGATGGTTATAAAACAGATAATATACTGTTTCCCCCCCCTCATCAGTGTGTTTGTCCCCTGTGTGTGTTGCAGGATGCAGAGGCCATCTATCAGTGGCTAAGTGACTTCCAGCTGGAGCAGTACATCGGGAACTTCATCAATAACGGTTATGATGTTCCCACCATCAGCAGGATGACTCCGGAGGTGAATAAGGACGCTCTCTGGTGCTTCACAGTATAATAGGACCTGGTTAGCTGTGCAGCCTTCATCAGATGTCCTTTGTGTTGTTTTGTCCTCAGGATCTGACCGCCATCGGAGTGACCAAACCCGGACACCGCAAGAAAATCTCCATCGAGATCAACAACCTGAACATCCCCGAGTGGCTGCCGGAGTACATCCCAGTAAGAAACAAACAGCTTCCTGCTGCGTGATTCCTCACCTTGTGACTGTATACTATGTATTATTAATGTTATAATGCTACTAAAGATCATTTTGAGGTAGTTGTACTTTACATGAGTATTTTCATTTGATGCTACTTTGTACTTCTACTCCACTTCATTTTCTGGCAGCTTTAGTTACTTTACAAATTCAGTTTATTAGTGATAATTGTAGGTTAAGTAATTCAGCAACAGCAAATTAAGTAATTCAAATAAGCTCCACCTGTAGTACATACCCATTAATATAATATATATGATTCTGAAATGGGATATTACCCTTAAGTCATTTTACAATTTAAAATTGCTACTTTAACTTTATGAAAGATCTGAGTTATTCTTCCTCCACTTGTGTATACTGGTGTGTTCCTGATGCTGATCTGTTCCTCCTCTCAGTCGGACCTGGGTGAGTGGCTCAGTGCCATCGGCCTCCCCCAGTACCAAAGGAAGCTCTCTGAAAACGGCTACGACTCCATCAGCATCGTCAAAGACCTCACATGGGAGGATCTGCAGGAGATCGGCATCACCAAACTGGGTGAGGACACTTTTTATTCTGTCATGAACTCAATAGAGTATTTTTTGAGGTCTTATGGTCAGCAGGTACGTATGGTTGTTGAAAACAGTGTTTTCTTACTTTAATATCATGGTTGTATTTTCCCTCCAGGCCACCAAAAGAAACTGATGCTGGCGGTGAAGAAGCTGTGTGACATCCACCGAGCAATCCTCCAGGCGGAATCAGGCCAAGGCACGCTGCGTCGTAAAGGCCCCGGAGCCCTCCACCTGGTGGCCATCGAGCCGCCCGACTCTGTGGGGGAGTCTCCTCGCACCCCCAAGATGCTTACCTTCCAGGACAGCGAGCTGAGCGCCGAGCTGCAGAGCGCCATGTCCAGCCACTACGGAGGCTGCGAGGAAGGCCTAGCCTTCAAGAATGCAGTGGGGATGTCCCAGAGCCAGGAGAGCATGGACGCCCGGTCCAGAGGCTCCGGGCGCTCCCAGGAGCCCCCCACCGCCTCCATCAACCCCCACAGCTGGTCGCAGGAGAGCCTGGAGGGCAGCCCGGCCAGGGAGAGGAACCTCCCAGAGGGCTGGGACCAGCGGCCCCTGCAGCAGCAGACGCTGCCCAAGCAGGTTCCTCTGGGCACGGCCACCGTGTTCAAGTACCCGGCAATTCCAGCCAAGCCTAAACTGCCTGGGTCCCCTCGGGGTCCCTCCCCTCACGGCTCCCCAGCGCTGAAGGGTTTCAGCTACTTGCATTCTCACTGTGGCTCCACAGACTTCAGCTCGAGGCCGGAGAACTACAGCATGACATTGACACCACCTAAAAAACGCGCCCAAACCCGCTATGCTCTGTCTGATGGGGAGCCAGACGAGGACGAGTACGAGCCGTCGAGTCGCTGTAGAAACCTGTCGTCCTACGCCACCTTGACCCGCAAACCGGGTCGCAGCCATCTGGCTCGATTGCAGTCGAGTTCAGAGAAGAACGGCAACGTGGGACGCAGCCAGTCCTTTGCGGTGCGCGCCCGTAAAAAAGGTCCCCCTCCTCCGCCTCCGAAGAGACTGAGCTCAGTGAGCAGCACCAACAGCGACGAGCTCAGCGACAGCAGCACCACGTCCTCTGTTGGCGGGGGGGTAACGGACAGCCCAGTGAGCGTGAGGAGCATCGCAGCCTCTCTGGAGGGCAGGACGGAGGGGAAAACCCCCAGCTCAGAGGAGGCTTCCCCTGCACACAGCGCTGCAGGGCAGGAGGCTGCGGGGGTGAGGAGGAGGGTGCAGAGCGAGTGTATTCCATCCCAGACCCGCAACGTCCCGGTGCCGGATCGGGGGGTGAAGTCTGACACGGAGGAGGAAGACTCAAAAGGCTGCAGGCTGGAGGGCTCCTCCTCCCCTCAGAACAGCTCCAGTGAGTGCATCCCCTTCGCAGAGGAGGGTAACTTGACTATCAAACAGAGGCCTAAAGCCCCCGCTCCCCCCCGAGCTGAGGCGGTGCTGGAGCCCCCAGAGGCACAAGCAGCCAAGGACTCAGAGCTGCCAGAGTTTAATCTGAAGGAGTCTGACACGGTGAAGCGCCGGCACAAGCCAAAAGACAAGGAGCAGGGAGAAGGCTCCCCCAGCAGAGAGAGGCTGGATTCAGAGTCCCGCAGCAGCAGGCCCCCCTCCCAGTGCCAGGACCAGGACCAGCTCAGCCTGAGGATCAGTGAGGCCCGGCTGGAGAGGCCTGCCAGCCCGGCAACAGGATCCTCCATCAGACCTCCCCTCTCTCCCAGACCTGCCGTCGCCCCGAAGCCGGTCCGCCACAGTCTGCTGGCCGCACAGGGTAAGAGACTGACAACACAAACTACCGATGGGAAGAAAGAATCCAAAGGATTCTCAACAGTGGAGTAAAGTAGATTCTCAAGTAAGGACCTCCTGCTCAACTGAACCAAACTCTAAACAAACACTATCAAACAGAGTTCTGTAAGCTTTTTGAATCCAACTTCATTTGACTTCATGCAGGTTTCATTTTTTCAGATAATAATTGTTTATAATTCAATGCATCAACATCTCATTATTCCCCATACTTTGAGTTACATTTCTTGAATCATGTAAATCCCAACAATGTTTGGCTCTTTATGTTAGACTTGACTTGGGACTTGTTGATCTTGATGTTGGACTTTTGGATTTCTGACTTTTGATTTAAGGTTTGTTGCTTCTAAATAGATGTATGACTGTATGACTGCTGTTGATGTTGGACTTGATTTGGTAGTAGTTACTCTGACTTGAGTTCGTACTTGTTGATCTTGAGTTTGGACTTGTTGATCTTGAGTTCGTACTTGTTGATCTTGAGTTCGTACTTGTTGATCTTGAGTTCGTACTTGTTGATCTTGAGTTCGTACTTGTTGATCTTGAGTTTGGACTTGATTTGGGACACTATTGCTTTTGATGATAGACATCATTTGGGACTGGTTGCAGTTGACTTGATTTGGGACTATTGTTTTTGGCTTTTGGACTTGATTTGCAACTTATAATATGGGACTTGACCTGGGACGTGTTGCACTTGACATTGGACATTATTTAGGAATATGTTTGTCCTTACTTAGAAATGTTAGGTCTTATTTTTGGAACTGTTGCTCTTGACATTGGACTTGATTTGGGAACTGTTGGTTTTGTCTTTGGACTAGTAGGATTTGTTAGGACTTGTTGCTCCTAACCTTGGACTTAATATGGAACCTTTTGGGTTGCACTTGTTTTTTGACTTGTTGCTCTTGATGTTAGACATATAAGACTTTATTACTGTTGACGTTGGGCTTAATTTGGGACTTGTGGAGTAAGACTCAACTTGGTACTTCTTGCACTTGACATTGGACATGATTTGGGACTCCATTTGTCTAGACTTTGGACTTGTAGGTTTGGAGTTGGGACTTGTTGCTCCTAATGTTGGACTTATATGGAACTTGTTTGGTTGGGGTTGATTTGTGACGTGTTGCTCTTGGTGTTAGACTTGAATTTAAACTTTAAGTTCTTGACTTAGACTTTTTTGTGTAGAGGGATTGTTGCTTTTGATTTAGTACTTAATGATCTTGACTTAGGCTCAATTTGTGACTTTATTTCTCTTAATTTTGGACTTGTGTGTGTACTGTTTAACATGTCAGTATTTGACCTGCCGTTGTCTCCTCAGCAGCGGGACTCTCCTCTCAATCTGTGACCGTTAGTGTGGTTCAGAGTGTGGCCTTCACCTCTCCGTGCTCTCCCTCTCACGGGTCCCTGGCTCCGCCCCCCCCCTCTCACGGGTCCCTGGCTCCGTGCTCCCCGGCCCGCCCGGCCCCTCAGAGCCCCTCTCTGGCAGCAGTGAGGCCTCAGGTGTGTGCGGTGGTTCCGGGTCCGGCCCCCGACTCGTCCTCTGGGACTGAGGTGGTTCAGCAGAGACTGGATCAGACCAGCACGTCGCTGGCAGCCGCTCTGAAGGCCGTGGAGAGAAAACTGAACCTGGAAGAAAACTCCGAAGGGTAAGAAAGAGTCACTACTGGGACTGTAAGGAAGGGATGAAGTGCAGCGAGCAGGTCATCATTGCAAAAGGAAACCTGTCATATTGATTTCAATATTAACTGATTTAAAGATGATTGTATTGCTTCCACCAAGACAAAGTGTCTGTTGTAGAAGGAATGGTTCAAACTGTGGTGAAAGCACTTATCAATGTTGTCTGCCCTTTAACTTTCAATAACATGAGTTTCTGTTGAAAATATCAAAATAAAGACTTCATATTTCAAAATGAAGAATTTGTATCTCAAAATGAAGACTAAGTCTCTCAAAATAAAGACTTTCCACTACAGCTCGCTTTAAGCGTACCGAGCCGTGCGGGGCCCGTTTTTGGTTGCGTTTCCACTAGGCGTAGTTCCGGCTAGCAGGTACTATTTCACAGTTTTTCTGGCCCCATAAAATCGAGGTTCTTAGCTGGCCAACAACCAGGCTGAGTCGGGCTGAGTATGCTAAACTAGAGAGAGAATCGCTCGCAAGGGGACTACAACTACAACAAGATGAACATATTTTACGGTGATTTAATTGTAATACACGTTTCAAAATGATGCCGAAGTAACAACATACTGATACCGGTTAGTAAAAACCATGAATTAATGCTTTGACAAGTCTGCAGACAGACGGCTGGCGAAAAACCTTTTAAAATGCGTGTTTTCTAAATGGAGATCGGCTAAGCTAACGCAGTGTATGCTCCGACCGTCCACACTCACAACAACGGCCTATACAGAGAGACATAAATAAACCAGCGACTATATTCGCCATGACACAGGCAGTCTGTGGTTTGTACTTGTTTAACTTTTGTCTAGTTTCTGAACAGATATGAGGAGCTGTGAGCTTGAGTGCTAACAGCTAATGGCTGATGTTGTTTTTATGTGGTTCGCATTGAAGATGACGTCACGGCTCCACCTACACTGCGTTACTATAGTTACTGCCCCAGCTACTAAACTGTAATGGAAACGCAGCATAAAGTGAGCCTGGCCTAACTATACCGTACTAAGCCGTGCGAGGCCCTGCAGTGGAAATGGAAAATAAAGAATTAGTATCTCAAAATAAAGACTTAGTATTTCTAAATAAAGACTAAGTTAGTCTATATTTTTGATATAATTAGTCTTTATTTAGAAAGACTAAGTATCTCAAAAAAATGAAATAATGTTATAGTATCATAAAATAATGACTTATTATCACAAAATGATGATTTAGTTAATAATAATGTATTTCTCAAAACAAAGACTTAATATCTCAATATGATGACCCCACTCTGTCATCATGCCCAGATGGTTAAATGGAAAAACCAGAGAACCTCTGGCTTAGCGTAGAGTACGGTTGGTCAAAAGAATGTGGCTGCAGGCAGACAACGACATGATGAATAACGCAGGGGCGGATCTACGGGGAGGGGAAAGGGGGGCAGCTGTCCCCCCACTGTAGAGCCTTGCCCCCCTAACTTTTGTTTCCCTAAAACTGTACTTGTAGAAACAAACCTACACTATGTCCACAAGCTTCTCAAGCAACGAAACAAGCAGTTCATTAATTAAAAGTCAATCATTTTAAATATCATATTTGCCCCGGCCCTGCATTAACTTGCGGAGCGGCGTTCACACAGACAGCGGCTCACACCGCTGCAGAGAGGGAGCGAGCTGTCCCAGCACCTGAAGGTAGATCAGCTTCCCCTGGGAGCATTTCCCCTTCCACTAGTTTTGCGTTTACTGAAGACGAGAGCTTGAAACTAAATATTAATAAAACTCTGCCGTTTGAATCGATAGCGTTGAACAGACGGTCGCTGTTTGGGACGTTACGTTACAAAATACTATGCAGACAGCGCTCGCTGGGAGATCGATCACTTTATTTGCTAAACTGCGGTACTATTAAATCCACGTAAACTACACATCACAGCAATGAGGCCAGATAAATTAAACCAGGATACATCCTTTACCGTCAAACTGGATCTAAACACAGCTGCCTGTGTGCGTTTGATAAATAATTTCTAATTTTATATTTATTATAGGCTATGCTACTTATCAGCTACATGGCCCTAACGTGTAAAGTTGTACAAGCATTTGTACCAGAGCTTTTCACAAGTAGACTCTTTGCAGGCCAGAGTATAGGAGTGATTCAACAACAACAAAAAGACATATCTGAGAAGTGATCAGGAGGAACAGAAAGAGGAAGAGGAAAAGAGAGATGGAGAGACCAGGAGGGTCAGAGCAGGAGGAAGAGGAGGAGATGAAGACATTAGTGAAGAAGAAGAAATATATGTGAGGAATAAAGATGAAGTATCAGAGAGAGGGCCAGAGGCAGGGATCAGGAGGCAGATGAAACTCCAGCTGGACCACATGGTATGTTCTTATTCTCCTTACATATTCCATTACAGCAGCACAATCTAGCAGCTCTTAGTATTGACAAATATTGATTGAAATGTGTTGCTGCACAGGTCACCTGTAGCTCTCTGAAGAGATGGGTGATGTCATTTGTGTAAATAATTATAACTAAGTACTTTTACTGTACTTACAGTAAACAGAATTCTAGGGTATCAGCAGTATTTTCTGCTCTTTTATACTATATTTGCGTTTGTTGGTCTGAACACCTTGTTTCTCTTGTGCATTAAGAACACTTGTGTTAGGGCATGATTTAACAATAAATAGGTTATACATACAGTACAAAATACCACATACTGTCCGCCCTCCCATGCCACCTTGGCATGACCTCTTGCCCCCCCTTTGCCAACCCATGTAAAATGTTCTAGAACCGCCACTGGAATAACGTCATCTGCAGACCCTCGCGGATGCATGAATAACAGGAATTGGCCTGAAGGGGGCAGTAGAATGCAACGCTTCTTATATTTACATCTATTGTTTCTCACCAGGGGATCTAACCAGGTGAAGTCCGCAGGGACGATCCTGGACGACATCGGCAACATGTTCGACGACCCTGGCCTGACCAAGCTGGACGCCATGTTGGACTGAAGACTTTCATCAAAGCCTCAACCTCAGGAAGTGAAGGAGTTGTGGGTAAAAAGAACGTTTGACTCTGAACTACATGCTGACGCAGTCCGAGGAGAACACCAGCACTCGATTCTGCGTGCGGTCTTTTTCTATAACTACGTCCTCCGCGTGTGTCTCACACAATCTGGACTCAAGACTTTGTTATCGCTCGGTCGCTGTCGTGTTGTTTTTAACAGAAACTTTAACCAAGCAAAAGTTGGACCAGCGGTACTTCATCAGAAAGTCCGCCGCAAATGATTACGGTTATGTTAAACTAATGTTGTTACTCACATATTTATCATTATGCATAATGGAGAGCTGAAGTCCCTTCTAGACTTTATTTCAAAAAGGTTAATAGAAAATTTAATTAACTATGCACGCAAAGGAAAGAAAAAGGTGTTATTATTATTATTATGATAATGGAACATTAACTTAAATATATACAAATAAATAGGGGAAAATAACACAAAATAATTATAATAAACCTTAACAAGGATTACAAAAATTGGACATTAAAACAAAGTTAATAAATAACTACACAAATATGGAAGAGGATTAGGGTCATCTTTGGTTTAGTTGTGAGTTTAAAGTCAGAATTCTGAATTATTGTTTTACTGAAAATCTCAGAATTCTGTATTTTTCTTTGTTTTTTTTATTCAGAAAAAAAATCCCTTTTGGTCAACTCATAGGTGGCCTGAATCCTCTTCCTTACACAATTACTTAAAAATAATGGAACAAATAAAATCAATTGAATAATATTTTAAAAGAAACATGCTTTCTGACTCGTGGAACACTTTGGCTCTCTATCCAACAGTCTGACCATTTCAAACATTTGTACCTTTTTGTAATATTTTAAAAAAACAAACATTTCTTTTATACCAAGTGATCTTAACCGTGTGCGTTCGTCGTCCGTTCGTTTGTGTCGTTCAAACTGAAACCTGTAAAAGTGCTTGACCATGTTCACACAAAGGGAAGCATGTTCAGTGATATACAGACTATTTTTTGATATTCATTATAGCCAAATTAGTATTTAAATTAGAGTTATCTAAATATGTATATTGTACACTAGAGTTATATACAGGAGCAGATATTCAACCAAAGTCTTTGTACATATTTTCCTCAAATATTTTCCCAAAAAGATGTTTATGAAGCGATATTTTCACGGTGCAGCCTGCAGCAGCGTCTGGATATTCAGCTCTATCTAAACATGATTCATTTGTGAAAGTGACAGTTAACTGGTGCGCGATCATGTGAATGAATGTGTGTGAATGCGATGCTTTGTGTGTGTTTTTATCTCTCGAGGCTCAGGAACATCCAGCAATGGAAAAAACTACAATAAATCCAACAAAGAAGAAAATAAATGTTGGCAGAGTCTCTGCAGCCTCCACATTCCTAAAATATGAATGTATTGTCTTCATAACAAACCAGAAACGTCCTGCTGGTGTTGATCTGTGGACGGTTGAATGGAGCAACAAAAGGGAAAAAGAGCAATTATTTTTACTTTAATCATTTATTTTCATTTTTCTTAATCATCCTTAGCAATTTCTTAAAGGTATAATACATATCTTCCACATTAAAATAACTAACAACGACTAAACACTTGAATTGTGTACATCCATTATTCCATTATAATTTTTTTTAAATTTGTTATTTGAATAAAGGTAAGTTGTGTTTCATTCGACATATTAGGGCAACAAATAAATACATTACATTTCAGAGGGGAGAGAGGTCATATCTTGGGGAAAAAACAAGAAACGTCCAAGATTCAATTTGTCAATTCAACATTTCAGTGGAAAAAAAATTGTCAATTTAATTATTTGTAAAATAAATGACACATTTTCTAAATCTTCAATATACTATTTTGGGGAAAGAAAATATACATTTCCAAGATCTAATCCTGAAATGTAATATTTTGGAGGAGGAATTACACTTTTATTTTATAAAAATTGTCATTTTATTACAATTTGTTCCAAGATTAGCTTATGTGAATTATTTATTATTTTTGAATAGGCTTCTGAACCTGTTACCGCTCTACAGTAGCTTAAATATCAGACTGCATATTATTGGATGCGTGTGTGGGTATGTGTGTGTATGTTTTTTATTTTGATATTCTCTGTCCTCCCTGGCTGTATTATGTTTAACCATTAAATGTCTATGATGTTAACCTGCTTGTCTGACTCTTTTTTTTCTTTATTGACAAAGAATAATGTACAAATGCATATAAACCAGAACAAGAGAAGAACATGGGATCAAGAACACAATATTTGTTTGCTTCACTATATCCAGTTTTGCAAAAATAAACAGATATAAATGAAAAATTAAATGTGAAAAATGTATAAGATTAAAATAATTCTTTTTTATTTTGTGATTCTTCATCTTTATATTTATATATATATTTTTTTTTTTACTCATTTATTTATGTATTGTTGTATTTCCACGTTTACATGTTTTTTTTGGTGGTTGTTTTCTACTTTAAATTTAAAAAAAGAGTTTTAGTTATTATTTTATTTTTGTATTAGTTTCATCTTTCCATATTGGTTATTTATATTTCTCTTAATATTTCAACTTTTTATTTATTTATTATTATATTTTTGGAAATCCTCATTTATTGTTTGATTTATTCATTTTATTTCCACAAGTATTTATTTACTTATTTATTTGTATGTATTTGTTCCTATTGATATTTCCACATTTATTTTTTACACTTTTTGTTGCAGACAGGTTATTAAGTTCAGTTATATTTTTGACTCACTTTTGCACCATTCAATATAAATGCATCCCCATAATGAACTGTGCAGGTCCTGTGCATTAACAGAGTAACCATTTCCCTACGTAATTCAAGCTTTGTGTGGAGTGTTTAGATCAAATAGTCAGCCCTCTACAGTGACGCACCTCTGCCTCTGCAGCAGTCAGTCGGTAAATCACGTGACTTTTCCGGTAAGCACACACCCACCGCTCTCAACTGTCTCCATGTTGCTCAGGAAGTCTTTCCAGTCTCTACTCTGTTGCCGAGCCTTTCAGTAGCAAGGTAAGAACACAGCCCTATGTCGCGAGCAGAACTCCGCTCTAAAATCTCCTATTTTAAAACGTTCTTTCATGTAGGCAAAGATTGATGCTTGATAGGAAATATTTTAAGATTGTTTTCTGAAAGAGGAGATGCCTCACTTCAGATCGGCATGCATGTGATACTCCTATCAGAATTAAATTGAACAAAATCTCAACTTTAACAACTGTTGTTACTCTATTTCCCTGTCTCCTTCTATAAAAAGGACATAGGCGTTAAACAGTGAAGTTGAGCGTTTTTATACATTCAAATGCCTATCTGATATTGTAGCTACTTTGTAGTTATTTATGTACGCCGTATGAAACAGAGCTTCCTATTTATTCATAAATGGTTTTAATCCATGTTCTCAGGCGTAAACACTACCAAACACGGAAGTCAACGTTAAATGTCCAGGATTTACAATGGAGGTTTGGTGACAATTAGTCAGGGCGTTGAAATGATTACCAGGAAGTTGCTTGACGCAGTTCCCAAGTTAGCTACATAGCTGTGATAGTATATGAATGTATATAAGGTGTGTATATGGGACTGGCTGTAAAATGCATTCCAGGCACTTTGTACTATACAATGCAGTTTATGTCATGCAGACTGGGCCCCTCCCATCTGAGACATGTTCCATCTGTGTTTGTGACAGTCTCCTTGTAATGATACCATGTTGGAAACATGACTCAGGCCCTAATCCTTTTGTACCTAATCTATCATTTAAACCATAACACAATTGACAGTTAATCTCTAAATGAAACATTGGTGAGCAGCCAAGCAGAACTTTAATTCAATCATGCTTCTAATTCTGTTTACAGACAGTGAGCAATGAACATGTGCAATACTTACTCATTTTCCATTGTAGTTGATTCAATTTAATACAGTTTATATGTATTACTCTATAGTTTACATGTTTCCCTATGGTGTTTTTCAAACTCTTTTTTTTGTCAAAAAGAAATCATCATATTGCAAAAGCTTTTGTAAGATGTTATCAAGTAAGACAGCTAAGTAATATATATATATATATATAATTAAATGCATAATCAATAAAATATGATACAATTCTTAATATTACATTATGATAAAAAAGTGTTAAGAAATAACAAAAGAAGGACATTTATACTACTTAAATATTTAATAAAACAAAGAAAGTGATGAGAACAAATTAAATAATACAACCTAAAAACAATTAAATCAATAAAAACTAAAAAAAATCAACTTAAAAACTGTACATACACAATTATAAAAAATGGAATAAAACCATGTCTTCTACTATTTTTTATGTTTTATGTATATATTGCTTAACTTTTATTTATATATTGAAACAACATAACTGCAGGATTACAGTGAGTGTTATTCTAAGCTGTGTGTTCAGTGAACGCCTCATTGTGTGCCGCAGGCGTGTCTCTGTACCGGAGCTTCATGCCTGACGTTTGAATAGAAAACTCATTTTTCATTTCTTCTCTAAATCTCACAAGGAGTTCGCTGTTCAGGTTTCTACAGTTGAACTCAGAAAGAACCCTAATCTCCAGCTCTTTTCTCCGAGTCATGTTTAAACTTTGACCTATACTGATTAGAGTCATGAGAAGTGCTCAATACCGAGCAGATAAACAGAAGAGCTACAGATACCTGAATAATGCTCTTAACAAAAGAAAAATTATTATAACATAATCGAATATAATTAAATTATAAAAATAATATACATTATAATTGTTGTTGAAAAATATATATATAATGGTACAACTTCAATTCAGTGGAAACACTTATTATTAAAATAACACGAAATAATACAACAATGAAATAGAATAAAATCATATGACTTAAAGGTGGTGTAGGTAATTTTGGAGAAACCAGCTCGAGTGCGCTAGAATTTGAAAATACACAGCCGGTGTCAGTACCAGATATGTTCGGGCTACCAGATATGTTCGGGTGTATTTCCGTCGCATCCGTCTTCCGTCATATCCGTCATATACTCACCTCCCTCTGCTCCCAGCGCTCTGCTGCTACACATCGGCCGTCTGCGGAACTGCAGCCGGAGGAACTCGGGACAGCTTGTTATGTGTGGGGTGCTATGGTGGGGTCCCATGTACTTGTGCACATAAATAATGTTTCTAATTATTTACAATTACTTTACTTTAGCCAACACTTTTATAAGGCCACTAGATTAGATAATTACTAAATGTGTAGATAGAATACATATATTTCAGGTTGTTATTTTGTCATTATGTTTAATATTTTATTTACCTTTTAGTATTTTTATATAGTATCTGAACTTTGGAGAGGAGTTGGGAGACACACGACACATCAAATCACATCTACAGATCAAGGCGAAGCGAATGGAAGTACTCCCATACTCTATACTAGCGTGAACATGTTTGTGAAAACGTGTGCAAAGTCTCCGAAAATCCTAAAAATAAGCTCATATTTGAATTCCCCATAAAAAAAACACATCATTCAGTAAAAACAAGGCCCCACTGATCATCTACTCTCTGAGACGATTCCAGGGATGTCTGGCTTGAGTTTCGACCACCAGGGAAAGTGGACAAAAGTGCCCGAGATCAGCCTCTTAATTTACCCAGGGCCTAGTGCTTGGCTTTGGGCATGAAAATTCAGGAAACTCCCCTGAGTATTTTACTTTGTCCGTTATTATATGTAGAAGATTATACTTTTTCTCCGTCATGTTGTTTCCTTAGCAACAACTTCAAACAGGCATAGCCTACACTTCATTCTTTACTTTGTCCGTTATTATATGTAGAAGATATTAATTTTTTCTCCGTCATGTTGTTTCCATAGCAACAACTTCAAACAATAACAACTAACCGCTAGCCGCAAAGCTAGCTTCACAGCCACTGATCCGTTTTCGGAGACTTTGCACACGTTTTTCACAAACATTTTCACACGCTAGGAGTACGTCCACTAGCTTCGTCTTGATCTGTAGATGTGATTTGATGTGTCGTGTGTCCCCCAACTCCTCTCCAAAGTTCAGATATTTAATAAAATACTCAGGGGAGTTTCCTGAATTTTCATGCCCAAAGCCAAGCACTAGGCCCTGGGTAAATTAAGAGGCTGATCTCGGGCACTTTTGTCCACTTTCCCTGGTGGTCGAAACTCAAGCCAGACATCCCTGGAATCGTCTCAGAGAGTAGATGATCAGTGGGGCCTTGTTTTTACTGAATGGTGTGTTTTTTTATGATGAATTCAAATATGAGCTTATTTTTTAGGATTTTCGGAGACTTTGCACACGTTTTCACAAACATTTTCACGCTAGGAGTATGGGAGTACTTCCATTCGCTTCGCCTTGATCTGTAGATGTGATTTGATGTCTCGTGTGTCTCCCAACTCCTCTCCAAAGTTCAGATACTATATACAAATACTAAAAGGTAAAAAAAACATTAAACATAATGACAAAATAACAACCTGAAATATATGTATTCTATCTACACATTTCGTAATTATCTAATCTAGTGGCCTTATAAAAGTGTTGGCTAAAGTAACGCAGAATATATATTTTTTTTAATTGTAAATAATTAGAAACATTATTTATGTGCACAAGTACATGGGACCCCACCATAGCACCCCACACATAACAAGCTGTCCCGCAGTTCCGCAGACGGCCGGTGTGTGGCAGCAGAGCGCTGGGAGCAGAGGGAGGTGAGTATATGACGGATATGACGGAAGACGGATGCGACGGAAATACACCCGAACATATCTGGTAGCCCGAACATATCTGGTACTGACACCGGAAGAAATCTGCCACTTCCTCACAGAGCCCCTCCTCCAACACTCACGCGCACATGACCAATGAGGGCACGAGATAAGTTTGTGCACAGATGGAAGGCTGACAGGCAGGCAGGTAGATGATTGGTCGTGCTTTTTACAGTACTACGGCTTCCACAGATGATGTTTTTGTATGGATTTTTTATCAAAGCACTTAAGATATTCATTGCTATCGGGATGTTAAGAGCATTCCAAGGAATATAACAAAAAGTGTATCTCGAGCCGGTTTCTCAAACTTACCTACCCCACCTTTAAAATACGATAAATTAATAAAATGAAGAAATAAATTATTAATCAAAATAAAATTGTTAAACTTAAAAACAATGAGTGAGTGGAAAATGAAGCTGTATGGAGCATTACAACTAAGCAGCTGAACAACAACTAATGAGAATAAACTTTGAATGTCAGCACGAAATGAATTTGTACTCACGTTTTGTAATTGTATGGCTATCTGAGTATTGATCCATAGCAGTGAGAAAGAGGTTAATCTCATGTAAATCCTGATAGTGTGCGCAGTGATCACTTTATCTTCTCAGAGCAGAGACACACTGATTTTATCCTCAATCACACAAAGGCTCTGCCGACAGACGAACAAAATGACAAACTCAATCTCAGTCCACAGGTTGTTTCGATAAAAAAATTGTATACAAATAAAAGATAAATAAAATAATAATACAATAGAACAAAATGGTACAACTTAAGTTAAACAAAGTGACAGGTTTCTTGTCTGAAAAGTCTTTTTTTAAAGTGCACCAACATGCTATTTTTAGGCAATAGCATAGATCTCAGATATATAAAAATATATTAAAAACAAGTCTATGAAGTGTTTTGGTCAAAATACCAAACAGATCACCCATTCTAGCCATGCCTCATATCCCTCTATTTCACTTCCTGTTTCAAAAGTGCTGATTTGGGGTATAAAGCTTTTTTTTTAAAAAGGAGGCGGCAGCTACTGTCTAAACTAAATACTGCGGTGATGAAACACCATATCATGGATTATCAAGGATTATTTCTGAAACAGTATGGAGCTCAACGGCTTTCTCTCCAGTACAGGTTAGCTCTGAGTGTTAGCAATGCTAATGTAAACATCGACCATATTACGTCCAAAACAGTCGGGCATTGTTTCTGATAGCAACGTTTCTGATAGGGCCGTGGGTCCACATTTCAGATATTACATCATATCGGACGAAAATCTGGATCAGCTCCGTTGTTCCCCCGTTTTTAGAGATTTGGGTACGGAGGAAAAGAGAGAGGGTTTTATTTTCTGACGCTGCGTGAGTTCCCTGACACACCGGGGATACATCTTTATGTATACAAGACATCAAAAAGTGCATTTTGCATGATAGGTCCCCTTTAAAGATTAAATTAAATTAGTGAGACCTTATTTATTCGGACAGACATTAAGTGTTACAAATACAAGTTAGATCAAATAAAAACTATTATTAATAGAATACAATATATTAAAATAAAATGTAAATACAATAGTTTAAAAAAAATAACAAAAGATAAAATGTTGACAGCTTAAATAAAATCCAATAAATTATGAATAAAATGCTTTTTAGGGATTTCCCTTTCCTGTAGTGTGTTTTATAGGTTTTAGTGCATGTAAATGGTTCGCAAAGTCTAAAATCCCTGTGTTCCCTCCAGAGGGAGTTTCTCCCCCTCCCCCCTGCTTGAAACGCCTCCATTCCTTTGTTTACTTATGTAACATAGTGACATCACTATGTACAGGGCCACCCCTGGCCAACTTGGGGCCCCAAGCGACATTGTGAGATGAGCCCCCCCCCCCCAACCGACAGGAGTGAAAACATTTTTTTTGGAAACAAAGTAGGCTACTTTGCAAATATAATTCCTGTTCATTATTATTATCAACACAGTTACTTTTTTATACAGTGAGGTAAATGGTAAATGTGCATGCATGTCGTTCAGTATGCGTTTACCGGTGAATACGTCTGCATTTCCTGCCAAATACTAGCCTCAAAACGATTAAAATATAATTAATGCAAATAAACTACTTCTACTAATAATAATAATCATAATCAATTCAATAATATAAATACTATATTATTTTATTACAATATAGTCAAGTCAAAACATGCTTATGACATGCTCAAAAACTGATATTTCTTAAATCTGTATTCAAACGTAGTTCCCTCTGTCAGCAATGTATCAGCAACTACACACACATTTCTATCAGTATTTCTCTGTGTTGTGGTTGACATGATGATGACTGTTAGGAGTTAAGGGGAGAGGCTGAGCATCACCACGAAATGTGCAAATTGACATAAAAATGAATAAGAGGGGAAAAAATGCTCCATGTTTTTTAAGCTGTAAACTTCAACTGTTATGTAAGCCAAGTAGACAGACAGTGTATCACTCTTCCTCCTGTACATCAGCAGATAAAAGGCATAACATACTTGAATGAATGTTAAATAAAGAATGCTGGAAACAACTGCATCTCCATTAGCCTACAGTATATGCTCTGCAGAGACTGCCTTCTTCATGTCGTGAATTGTAGCTGATGTTTTAATATGACAATTGGCAATTTGACTTATACAACATTCGCAAGTCGTACATTTGACTCATACAATAACCCACCTTCGAGTGATGCTCTAGTTTCTTCATGTTTTAGTTTTTTTCCCTCTTGCTTGCTCCGGACTGAAACTGTCTTTTCACCGACATCTCTTCACCTGCACTAGTGGCCGTATCAAAGCCGTGATTGGTCAGATGTCGATTCATTGCAACGGTGTCGGGTTACAGACGTGCTCCCCTTGGGGGGGGGGGGGGGGGGAGAACTGAGCGGAGAACTGGCGGGGCCCCCTGCGCAAGGCGGGGCCCCATGCAGCCTGCGTGATTGGCCTGTAGGGAGGGGCGGCCCTGACTATGTAACACTGACACTTCTATTGCTCCAACACATTGTATAATGATAGACTAACGGGCGGGACATCTCTAAGTGGTTGGCCAATCACAACAGAGCCGCCCAGCTAACCAATCGGAGCAGACTGGGCTCTGGTTTCAGACAGAGGGTGAAAAGAGGTGCTGCAGCACAGGCAGTATGAAAAAATACTTTTTGAACATTAAAGCATGGAGACATGTCCCAGTAGTGTGAGGGATTAATTTTGTCTTTACTTAAGATATTTGACCTTTCGGCCTGTTGACGTTTACGACGAAGCCAAAGTCTGTTATCTGTCTTAAGGAATGGGAACTGTCAGCTATTGCTGCCATTATCAGTTTTATGACCGGTCAACTCTCGGTCACTAGAGTCAGATAAAGTGATTCAGTGCCTCCAGGTGTTCACAGATGCCTTCCCCCAATATGGGGGTTGACTGATGCCCCGGCCACACGAGGACGAAAACGGTCGTTTGCGTTACTGTTTAGTGTCATATAGACCGTTAGGCCACACGAGGACGACCGAATACGGCATTAAACGACTGCGTAAACGATAACGGGTCCCAAGGTGGATAGAACGGCATACGCAACGCTCTGGGGGGTCCAACGGCTCCGTGTGTACGCCCTATACGATCATTTTCTGATAATGATGAGGCAATAGCCCCGCCTCTCCCCACCTCTGATGCTCACCCCCGCGTCAAAGTAAACACACTGCACACTGAATTCAGATTATTTATCTTTCTCTCGATATGGACCCTAAACGCGAGTGAAGTCTAATCTGACAGGACGGAGACACGCAGCTCTGCTCACCTGCAGCTCCTCCCGCTGTGATGCGGCGGTGAACGGAGTAAAACACACATTTCAAGTCAGATCATCACCCTTAGCTATTTTAATTACTTCTCAAACTACCTAAACTAGATATAAATATGTTTATTTTTACTGTCGGCCGGGTCACTCATTACTGGATCAGCTGCTGCATGAAACAGACACTGGCGCTGTCCGAAGAGAGGGAGGAAAAAGAGAGGCTCCGTGTATTTTATTATTATAATATATAGATTCGCTATTCATTTGTTTTAAAGCTCAATAAATAACAAAGAAGACCTTTGACCGGCACTTTTATAATTTTGTCGGAAGATTTAAACTTTAATACACGTTGACTGGCGAAAAACTCTGCCCGGTTCCCTCGGCCCCCACCGCGGAGAATAAACAGAAGGGCAACCATGACAACCATGCTTCTTCGCTGCTTTTGTGGAGGAAGTTACAGCGCCACGTACAGGCTCCTGCATATGTACTGCAGCTTCTCCAGCGGTTAGAGCTAAACGGAGCTGTCTCGTGTGGACAGACACTATCCGGATGACTATTGCGTGTGGACGGAAGCTTTTTTGCGTTTGCGTTAATCCTATGCGTTTAGCCGTTTTCGTCTTCGTGTGGCCGGGGCATGAGTGAAGCTAATTAAAAGGTCTGCCAAGATGAGAAGGGATTCAGAATTGACATGGCAACCCACCGGTGCAGTCAGAACTTTCTGCTGCTGTGACTTGTGATATGAATTCTCCGGCCGATGCTTGTAATAAACTGCCAGTGTTTGACATCAGAACTCCTGCTCGTCCCGTGTCTCTCTGAGTCCTGACTCTCCATTGCTGCAGAAGTTTCCCTTACAAGTAGAGACATTACATACAAAGATGACCCTGAAAATGAGCATAAAAGGGCCCCTTTAAATGCCAAAATACGATTAATTTAACATTTAAAATAAGTGAGATCTTAATATATCAAGAGCAGCTGAACCTCGTGTTAGAGAACTGTGAACTGTTTTCCCTTTAACATTATTATCAACACTCCGCTCCTCTCTGCAGCATCTAGTTGGGATGATGTCTAAGAAGGGAGGAAACCAAAGGCCGGAGATGGAGGGTTCGGTGGAGGCGTCCATCATCCGCATCCCCCCCCATCACTACATCCACGTGCTGGACCAGAACACCAACATCGCCCGGGTGGAGATCGGACCGCTCACCTACATCCGCCAGGACAACGAGAGGTCAGATGACTACTGTCATCAAAACACAGCAAATAAAACAGAAACATAGTTATAATCCTTATTATAATTTAAAATATATATATATTATTAATAGTTGTGACATTTATGAACAGAGAACATTGAAGAAATTAAAGTGAACCTTTTACAATAATGAGTCTGAAACAATGGTGCAGCTATAATAATAATAACTAATAATATAAATGATATTATTAATTCTACTACTAAAATTACAAATACTAATAATAACACAATAATAATACTCAGAAAAATAAAACAGCAAATTATACTAGTGCAGTACAGTCAATAATACTTATACCACTAATACTTGTATTACTACTACTACTTATAATACAAATAATAATAATACAACTTATAATAATACGGATTCCAAAAACGGAATCCAATAAAAAATAAAGAATAAAAAAATATATGATAAGCTTTTAAAATATTAAGTGAATAGAAATGTTAATTATCCATTAGTTTTAATGGCAGTTGTGTTTCCTGCTGTTTATAATGGATGTGTAGTAACGGTGCCTCCCCCCCCCCGCCCCCCCCCCCTCTGCAGGGTGCTATTCATGCCGATGCGGATGGTGATGGTGCCGCCGCGTCACTACTGCGTGATCCTCAACCCCGTCGCCCGCGACGATGACAATCAGGTGCTCTTCGACCAATCAGGGCAGGCCAAGCTTCGCCACGCCGACCTGGAGATCCGCCTCACCCAGGACCCCTTCCCCCTGTACCCGGGGGAGGAGGTGCAGCAGGTCAGATACTTTACCCTATAAGTCAACAAATACAACTGGTATGATTTTTAGTAAAATACAATTGCTATGTAACAATTACATATTTCACCTATTTTACACATTTGACATGTGTAATATACATTATGTAAAATAATTGAAATATTTATAATTTTACATGCATTTACAACAAAATAAACGTATTTAAAATCTTTGAAATGTTAACATATTTGATGTTTAACATACCTGACAAATGTATGGTATTTGATTTAATATATTAAAATGTTTAACATTTCTAAAATATGTTGAATATTTGACCTTTTAAAAAATATTTAGAATGCATTACAAAATGAACAAATTATAAATATTGGACATATATAAGATATCTGGCCTGTTTTAGATTAAAAAAAAGTTTCCATGTTTCAAATACTAGACATATTTTCCATGTTCAACACAATATTTTAATTTTTTTTAAATAGTTAACATATTTAAAGTATTTTTTTGAAGTATTAAAAACATATTACACATGTATGACGCAGTGTGTGTGTGTGTGTGTGTGTGTGTTCCAGGACGTGACCCCGCTGCAGATCGTGTTCCCCGACACGGCGCTGCGTCTGCAGGCTCTGCTCGACTTCGAGGAGGAGCGTGGGCAGAAGAGAGTGGCCGGAGACGAGTGGCTGTTCGAAGGACCAGGTGGGGTTCAGCAAACACTATTAAACATGAAATACATAAACCTAATAATATTACAAAATAAGGAAATATTCTGGTCAGTGTCGCTGACGTGAGTTACAACATTTGTATACGACATTATCTGATGTTTGGTGACTGATAGTGTTTCACAAAATTGAACTTGTGTGTGTGTGTGTGTGTGTGTGTGTGTGTGTGTGTGTGTGTGTGTGTGTGTGTGTGTGTGTGTGTGTGTGTGTGTGTGTGTGTGTGTGTGTGTGTGTGTGTGTGTGTGTGTGTGTGTGTGTGTGTGTGTGTGTGTGTGTGTAGTGTGTGTGTGTGTGTGTGTGTGTGTGTGTGTGTGTGTGTGTGTGTGTGGGGTGTGTGTGTGTGTGTGTGTGTGTGTGTGTGTGTGTAGTGTGTGTGTGTGTGTGTGTGTGTGTGTGTGTGTGTGTGTGTGTGTGTGTGTGTGTGTGTGTGTGTGTGTGTGTGTGTGTGTGTGTGTGTGTGTGTGTGTGTGTGTGTGTGTGTTGTGTGTGTGTGTGTGTGTGTGTGTGTGTGTGTGTGTGTGTGTGTGTGTGTGTGTGTGTGTGTCAGGGACCTACATCCCCAGGAAGGAGGTGGCCGTGTTGGAGACCATCAAGGCAACGGTGATCCGGGAGAACCAGGCCATCAGACTGAGGGCCCGCAAGGAGGGCGTGGACCGCGGGGGGGTCCGCAGGGTCACAGGTGACTCAGACACAACGTCCTATACCACACACTTTGACTTCTTTCACAGTTAGCTTTAGCAAAGACTTTATTTGTGCTGAAAATCTTGGTGACAGACGCTATCAGAAACACATACTTTCAGTAGTTTAATGAATAAATACTTTCACAGGTTTTTATTATTATATGTCTTTATTGAACAAGGATCATGCATACAAATCCGTTAATGATGCTATATGCCATTTCCTATCACACTAACAATTAAAACGGATAAAAAAACAGATGTATAAAATATAAATACTGGTAAATCCGTCAATTCAAATATAATTGTACAATTCCTATAAACTAACATCTCACATTAAAGTAAAGTTATTGTTTGTAAGACTGGTTGCCCAAAAAAAAGTTTGCACTATCCACAAAGATGTCAAAATGTGAGCATGGTGTGCAAATGTAGTGCGCCTTAGTGGGATTCTGTGGTAATGTTGCATCTCACTTTCACAAACATTAACATAGTGATATAAACTGGTTTTAGATGTATTCAAACTTTATTTGTGTATCATCATCATCATCATCATCATCATAATAAGCTATGTTCCAGGTGAGGAGTGGCTGGTCAGTAAGGTGGGGGCGTACCTGCCAGGAGCTCAAGAGGAGGTCCTCGACATCGTCAACGCTTTCATCCTGACCGACAAGGTGTTTGCAATTTTGGAATCAGTTTATTTTTATTTTTTTAATCAGGAATTTGTGATTTCGAAATAAGCTGTTGGTGATTTTTAACATCAGGTATATGTGATTTTAAAATCCAGTGTTAGTGATGTTGAAGTCAGGTGTTTGTGATTTTAACTCACCTGTGATAACTCCTGGTGGTGTGTTTGTGTGTCTTCAGAAAGCGCTCCATGTGCGCGCCCTGCGGCCCTTTAAGGACGCGGGGGGGCGGGACCGGCGCACGGGGGAGGAGTGGCTGGTGACCATCGCCGACAGGGAGGCCCACATCCCGTCCGTGTCAGAGGAGGTGGTGGGGGTGGTGTACGTGACCACTCTGAGCAGCAGGCACTACTGCGTCATCCTGGACCCCGTCGGCCATGACGGGAAACCCCAGCTGGGGCAGAAGAGAGTGGTGAAGGTGAGGAGGACCTCCACGGACTTCTCTGACAAACAATACAAAGTCTTTATCCATGAGTGTTACTAATTCATTTCATAACTAACGTGGGTGTACACATGAATACAAACATTTTCAAGATGATATGATACAAATAAATTAGGATAATATAATTACAACAATTAACAACAAATATATTGCATAGGTCTATTTGTTTTATGTACATTATAATAGTTGTAATCAGCTGTTATATATTATTAATGATTTATTTATTAGCAAAAAGCACATACATTTTAGGAATATTAAAAAAACAATTATATAAATTATTTGCGACGGTGATTAACTCAAGGTTTTTATTTTGTCTACCAAATTATAAAATGATATCCCAGATCATGGCAAATGGGACAAAATGAATAACATACACATATAGAAAGGTTAGTTTGCTACACGGTATATTTTCTGCAATAATCCCAAATCCAAAGGCAAAACCCCATTTGAGAGATGCTAGCTTCAGGGTCGGAACACAACAACATGTCATCTCTACAGCTCTCTGTTAATTGGTCATTATCTGTCAAAACCGTCTTTCTTCTTCTCCATCAGGGTGAGCACTCATTCTTCCTGCAGCCGGGAGAGCAACTTGAAAAGAGCATCCAGGACGTGTATGTGCTGTCGGAGGAGGAGGGGCTGGTGCTGAGAGCGGTGGAGGCGTTCAATGACACCCTGGAGGTGAGGGCAGAAATCACTCGTATCCAGAAGTAGAACTGCAGTGTATAAATACTTGATTACAAGTCCTGCATTCAAAATGTTACTTCTGCAAAAGTATGAGCATCAACTATGTTCTTTAAGTAGCAAAGTAAAAATACTCTTAATGTAGTACAGCCATTTCATAATAGTGTGTATTATTGTATAATAATTACTGCTGCATTGATGTGCTTTCACTTTAAGTTAGCAGCTGCTAAAAGTTGAGCTAACGTTAACAATTGTATTATATTAGTCGATAATTGTAATTAATTAGAATTCATTATAATTTTTAAATAAAAATCATAATAACCTCCAAATGATCTAGAACCGAATATCATCAAATAAATGAAGTGGAGTCAAAAGTAAAATATTTGCCTATAACATTTTGTGGGGTAAAAAGTAACGACTACTGAGTACCTCACATTTTAACTTGAGTAAACGAGTTGAGTAAATGCACTTTTACACAAGCTTATATTCAAGCACTGCACTGTAATGATGCTTCAAATGGAAAGTAATACATTGAAGTTCACATAGGTAGATGCGTTTGATTTTTGGATTGATGATATTTAGTAGTGTATTCATATTAATAATGATGTTTATTCTGAACACCAGATTATTGCTTAAAAAGTACAGTAACACTGTAGATCTAAATGATCCTAATCCACAGTAGAATAAATAGATAATGCAGTATTGAACATTTGAATGTAGCGTATGGGAGGTATCTACAGATATGTGTTCATGAGCATTAGGTGTCATACATTTCGCAAATGTGTTTCTTCAACTTGAGAATCACCTCCCCGTGTCAGAGGTTTCTCTGAGGGAGTGCAGAGGAATGTAGGGAGGGGGTCTGAGGGCTCGTGAAGCTTGTCTTGTGCAACCGGTTGATTTGAGAAACAAACAGAGGTATGTCGGGATTAGAGACTGACTGCAGATGCTTTCAGCTGGTACGAGGTGAAGAGTCAGAGGTGTGTCTCTGCCCGCCGTGGTTCAAGATTCAAAGTCTTTTGCAGCTTGCCTCACACCACTGATTGGTGTATTAGGGTGGGGTGTGTGTAAAAGAGGGGTGAAGAAACATGTATTGTTGAGCAGGTAGATATTTGCTTTGGCCTATAATGGCGCATAAACACATCAAAAGGATAAGAGTGGTGCAGTTCTGACTTACTACTGTAGGCTAACCCTGAAGTTAGCATCTCCATGGTTCCCTTCACAGAACGCTAATAGGGTTTATGATACTTACACGTGTTGCTCAGCAGGATCATCTCCACATATAACACCCCTTTTTAGATTTTGTTAAGCGTCAATGCAATATTATCGAGAAGTAAAAAAGCGAACTAGCTAAACGCTAATAAGCTATAAAGGTCACCACCAACTCTGCTAAGCTAAAGGCGGCGCTTAGGCACTTCATATACTAACCAGTGAGGTATTTACTGATGCATTTGATGTCGTATTTCCACAGCATTAACCCTTTGCAAGTATGTTTTCACTTCTTTATTTACTCAAGTAGTGTACTTGAGCACCATTTTGAGATACTTACCTTACTTGATTTACATGTTTCACTACTCACTACAATTCAGAGGTAAATGGTGTACTTTTACTCCACTACATTTATTGAAGATCTGGATGAATGATGTGAAATATAATCAAGTGTTGAATCAGACTTTAGTTCCACCTGGAGTAAATCCACCAGCTACCCTGCAGTAAACAAAGTCATTCAAACTAGCTGCACCTTTACCAGCTTTGAGAACACTTTCATGACCAATCATTATAAAACATATCATATATATTATTCTGAAATGGACCAATCTGCATAATCACTACTTTGGGTACTTTAAGTATATTTTGATGCTAATACTTTTGTACTTTTACTTGAGTAACATTTTGAATGCAGGACTTAGTATTTCTACTCTCTGGTACTTTTACTCAAGTACAAGATCTGAGTACTTCTCCAGCTCTGCCTCTACTGCACCATCTCCTCTCCTAACCTTTATACCCCCACTCTCTTCTTCTTCTCTCTCTTCTCTTTGTTTTAAATCAATCCCTACCATTCCACTTACTCCAACCTTTACGTTTTCCTCCGCCTTTCGAAATATTTTGCACTTTGGGTTTCTCTCAGTGCCCCTCTCCAGTCCCTTCCTCTCCTCCTCATCCTCCCTCTCCTCCAACTCCCCCACCACTCCAATGCATCGCCACGTTAACCCTTCTCTCCCTCCTCCACTTCTCTCTCCCCCGTTCTCTCTGCCAGCGCGATGAGGAAGAAGAGGAGGAGGAGGAGGAGGAGCAGGAAGAGAGGGCGAAGCGCTCGCGGAGGAGCGCCGTGCTCCGCCGCCCCGGGGACCGCTGGATGCTGCGGGGCCCCATCGAGTACGTCCCCCCCGCCACGGTGGAGGTGATGGTGAGACGACAGGCCATCCCATTGGACGAGAACGAGGGCATCTACGTCCGGGACATCAAGACCGGAAAGGTACGACTCTTTAAAGGAGCAGACCGCCGTTCATTACGTTTTTTTTCTCTTCATTGAGTCACAATTATTAAGATAATATTAGATGAATCTTTATTAATCCCCGTATGGTAATCTGTTCACCCGTCGGGTGTCTGAGCAGCAACAGCAATAAGAATGAAAGACAGATAGTAAGAATAGTATGAATAGAACAACAGATGATTGTACCTATTATTATTATTATTATTATTATTATTATTATTATTATGGAGTTATGAATAAATATATGTGCATGTTTTGGCTTCAGATGAACTGTGAACTGGAAGGCAGGAAATCAATACAGAACATTTCAATTATCCTAATTTGAATATCCCAACTAAACTGCGCAATTTTTTTCTTAGGTTAATCAATTATTGATTTGTTATTTTCCTAAGGTTTATTAGGAGATTTTTCAGTTTTGCTGACAAACCATACAAAAACATTAAGTGTATTGTCAAAGCTAGTAGGGAGTGCAGACCTCCGTAAATTAAAACAATGCATTTGTCCGCATCACAATTTGGATCCTCTACACTTTTTAATGGGTTCTTTCTGAGCCGAAAATGATATTTTAAAATGCACACTTGATTAACACACTTGAGATTTAAAACATATGTTGGTGTGTCCTCTTATTCAAGTTTACCTTAAACTTTTTTTAAACAGAAAGCAAAGATCTTGGATGGATAATGATTAGTATACATATGAAACAATATTTAAATCATGGCATCTTAACTGAAAGAACATCAGGTGTGAATTGAAATTAAACACTTCTATACAAGATATTAAGTCAAATCTGATCTATAGGAGCAAACCAAAAAGTGAGTCTTTCACCAATTTCATGGGAATCAGGTCACAAGTTCTTTGTATTCCTGCAGACAGATAACAAACTAATTGAAACATCACCTGATGAATGTACTGACACGTTGCTGCCTCTCAGGTGCGTGCAATGATTGGTCAGACCTACATGCTGACTCAGGATGAGGAGCTGTGGCAGAAGGAGCTTCCTGCCAACGTGGAGGCCCTGCTGGCATCTCCTCTGGACCCGGTGGCCGACCGCTCGGACCGCAGCAAGACGGGAGTCAGCCGGCCCCGGGACAAGACCCGGGTGGTGTCCTTCAGGGTGCCCCACAACGCCGCCGTGCAGGTCTACGACTACAGGGAGAAGAAGGCCAGGTGGGACTTCCTGACATCCTGATTTGTTATGATTTATGAAATACATGATTTTAATTTCAAATAATATTTGAATTCTCCTAGTAAATTTAACACTTTATCGTCAGAGAGTATTTAAGTTTTTTCTTGTTAATTTACAACTTAAATCTCAGAGAATACCAATTTGTTCTTGTAACTGTACTAAATTATATTTAGAGAATATTTGAGTTTTACTTATAAAATTTAAGATTTTACTTCAGATTTAAATACATTTTTCCTCGTAAATTAACCACTTTAATCTGGGAGAATATCCAATTTAATCTCGTAATCTTTTTTGGTTTAATTTCTGAGAACACATTTTGGCTTTAATCGTAGAGAATATCCTTTTTTCATGAATTTATGTAACAAATAAAATATTTGTTTCTGTACAAAGAGGTTAAAATCCCACAAAATTCAGTCGAAATCTTGAGTTTAAACTGGGATGAAATGTGCTCAATCCATATTCTAGTTAATTTGTTAAATATCACTGCCATCCCTAATCCCTAAGTAATGTGGTGTTGTGTTCAGGGTGCTGTTCGGACCGGAGATGGTGATGTTGGGACCTGACGAGCAGTTCACGGTGCTGTCGCTGTCCGGAGACAAACCAAAGAGGGCCAACGTCATCAAGGCCATCTGCCTGTTGCTGGGGCCCGACTTCTTCACCGACATCATCACCATCGAGACGGCCGACCACGCCCGCCTGCAGCTGCAGCTCTCCTACAACTGGTAACCGCAACACGCCCATTAGTTCTGCACTGATACAGAGGTAGCATCTCTCCGCTTCTATCCACAAAAAAAACAATGGCATTTTCCATTGTATTTTGGATTATTGCAGAAAGCAAAAGATGTGGTAAACAAGAATTTATGATATGATATATTTTCTTCAGCAGCCTAATCTCCACGTATTCACACCACTTTATGATTTTTGAAGCATGAATGCAAACTCCAGAAGTAAAAAGCTACTGTTAGCCTATAAAGGAACTACAGCACGGTCACATGACTTCATGTCCCCACTGCTAAGCTAAAGGTGGCTATGTAATTCGAGAATATTTCAGTTTTTACTAATTCATTTACCACTTAAATCTCATAGAATATGATAGGTTTTTCTATTTGTTGTATCTTTTAGTACCCAAATATCCCAGTGTTAAGAGGATATTTTTAGGGTTTGGAAGTAGTTGAGGTTATTTTTCTCGTAAAATGATGACTTATCGCAGAGAATATACATTTGTATTAGAAATGTACGACTTTAATTCCAGATAATATTCAACTTTTTTCCTTGCATTTTTAAACTGTCATTTTTTCCTCATTATTCTACCATATTCTTCATCTCAAAGAATATGCTTGGTTTTCTTGTGAATTAATGACTTTATTCTCAGAATATCAAAAAATGGGCTCTAAAATGTCCAAATGTAATCTCCTAGAATGATTTAGATGTTGTCTTAATTGGTATATTAAATTCCCCTCCTGTTGTCCCTCTTCAGGAACTTTGATGTGAAGCGCCCGGTGAGCCTTGAGGATTCAGTCGCTCTGTTTTCTGTCCCTGATTTTGTCGGAGATTCCTGCAAAGCCATCGCCTCCCGCGTCAGAGGAGCCGTTGCCTCTGTGCAGTTCGACGATTTCCACAAGGTTCCTATTTCACCAGCTCAAATGAAAATGATTGCCGTTATTCCTATGTCAACATAGTTTTTCCCATTAAAGAGGGATGAAACCCTCTTTAATGGTCACACATGCAGACACAGCACACACAGTGAAAGGAGTTCTCTGCATTTAACCCATCCTAGTGCCTAACATTACTAATATATTTAAATAATGATAATTAAAATGATCAACATACTTTAACAACATTAACATAAGTATTAACATTATTACTAATACAAGTATAGTTTGAACTTTAATATAAATACATTAACTTTATTGAATTATTATTGAAAATACCATTACATTCAAGTTTTTTGAAATATTTGAAGAGAAAATCTGGATTGAGCAAATTGAGTTGAGTTTAATTTATAACAAAATAAAATATTTTTGATGAATTCTTTATATCATTTTATTCAAAAATATTCATTTGTAAAGTACCTAAAGTTGTCTGACATGAAATCCCCAAACTACCCCAGATGTTTACTGAAGTACAGTGTTTAGTTCACTTAAATGATTTGGATTCAGAGATCTTTTAAATCTTCGTTGTCAATCTAAACTCTTACTCTTGTCTGCAGAACTCCAACCGGATCATCTGCTCGGCGGTGTTTGGTTTCGATGAGAAGATGGCGGTGCGCTCCACCCTGCGCTTCCCGCAGAACAAGCTGGTGATCAGCAGCGTGGACATCCAGTCCGTGGAGCCGGTGGACCAGAGGACCCGCGACTCGCTGCAGAAGAGCGTCCAGCTCGCCATCGAGATCACCACCAACTCCCAGGAGGCGGCCGCACGGTCAGCCAGATCCTGAATACACATTTTAAATAAAAATCAAATCAAATAAAAAAAAAATTAGGCTACTCAAAACAATTAAACAGATTAAAGGGATAATATAATGTTTATATTTATTTAGTACATTTAATGTATTTTATTTATTTATTTGAACAGCTTCCCTTTTCCTGGTTGTTTTGAGATGAGATATATAAAACATATACCTCAGAGATATCACCATTAAGCCCCAGGAGGATACATTTCACATAAAACAATATCTTTTTTTGTATTACAAGTTTTCTGAAATGTTTTGTTTAAATATGCAAATGATGTATTATGTAATGCTAACTTTTGGTGAATTTAGGAGAAATCTATAGACACAAATACACAGTTTGTAAAATAAACTGTATTTTAGATACTTTCTTTCCTTTGGTCTGACCTGCTAACTAAAATGTGTTTGTGTTTTGCAGCCACGAGGCGGAGCGGCTGGAGCAGGAGGCCCGTGGTAAGCTGGAGAGGCAGAGGATCACCGACCAGGCCCAGGCGGAGAGAGCCAGGAGGGAGCTGCTGGAGCTGGAGGCCCTCAGGTATTATTCTAGTTATGACACAGAAAGTACAATCAAGCAAATTAGAAAAGTTGTCAAGAGCAGTGAAGGGTAGACATATTTTTCAAGTCCAACCCTGAAGTTAGCATCTTCCTGGTTCCCCCCAAAAAAAGCCAATGGGATTTTTGGATTATTTCAGAAAACAATCTTTCCGAGAAACACACTTTTAATATACTTACACGTTTTGTTCAGCAGGATAATCTCCCCATTTTAACACAACGTTTCACATTTTTGATAAAGATTAAACAATAAAGGAACTACAGCAAGGTCATATCACCTTCGCTAAGCTAAAGGTGGCTAATGTTCTGCGTGATGAGTTTTAGTTGTCTCTTTTAGCTAGTGTTAGCTGCCGCAGTTTTTAAGAAGCATATAATCTTCAGGTTTTAACTGACCTATTTTTATGTTGTGGGATGAAATGTTAAAATCTCTTAAGCTTGCGTTAACAACAGACTTAACATTGACTTCTAGAAAAGGAAACGGGAAGTGCTTATATACTAACTAATTTCTGGGTTTACAATTATAGATTAACAGTAATACTACTAATAATATTACTACAGGATAGGACTATTACAGAAATAGTACTATCTTGTTTTTAAATCTCCTTATACTTTTAGGCTTAATACCTGGGTTATTGCTTTGTTTGTGTTGTAAAGCACTCTGAGCTGCATCTTATGTTATGAAAGCTGCTATAAAAATACAGTTTTCTTATATGCCTGCTGTAATGTAGTATTTCTACACTGTGGTATTACAGGAGTCAAGTACTCTGATTACTTTGTTGTTAACCCTGTGGTTGTGTTTCAGTGCTGCGGTGGAGAGCACCGGCGCTGCGAAGGCGGAGGCTCAGTCCCGGGCGGAGGCGGCCCGCATCCACGGCGAGGCGGCAGTCAACGAGGCCAAACTGAAGGCGGAGGCTCAGACCATCGAGGCGGTGCGCACTCACTTCCTGTCTCCCCTTTCACAATAAAACTCACCACACATCAGTGGAGGAATAAATACTCACTTCACAAAGTGTTTCACAACTATGAAAATACAATGTAGAAGTACTCTTCACTTTGCGTATTTACTACTCTTTCTGCGTTCCACTTATACAGAAGAGGATTGGGGCCACATGTGGGGTTTTTAGTGCTATGGCAGTTAGTAGATAGTATTCTGAGGAAAATGTCAGAAAAAATTTATCTGAATTTTGACTTTTTTCTCATAATTCTGAGATTAAAGTCAGAATTTCAATAAATAATATTTAATTATAAATGTATTATTATAGGTTAAGATGAAAGACAGACACAAATATCAAGCCAGAAGTTCATACAAACAAATGTTCAGAGAAGTCATGTTATGGATGCGAAATCAGTGCATGAAAAAAACATGTTTTCCCCTGAAGTGTCTGGCCTTAACATAATGAAGAAACGTCTGACTGCATCTACAACCAGAACACTGGTCATTTATCACAGAAAGAAACATTAATCTGTGTGTGTGTATGTGTAGGAGGCGGAGCTGCAGCGGCTGACCCAAGCCCGTGAGCAGGAGCTGAACTACAAGAAGCAGATGGATGCTCTGGAGGTGGACAAGCAGAAGAGTATGGCTAACATCGAGAGCGAACGCTTCAGTCAGTTGGTGCAGAGTCTGGGCAGCGACACGCTCAAAGAGATGGCCAGGGCCGGGCCAGAGCTGCAGGTACTACTGCTACTACTGCTACTGCTATATCAGAATTCCTTTTATTTGTCACATGTTATTAATAATAAACAACCCAATAAGTAAAAATAGCATATACATACACGATGGTAAAAACCTAAGTTGAAGTGAACAAATTAAATGAAACAGGTAGCTGGTACAGTTGACACACATGTGAATTACACACGTGTGTGTATATTGCAACAAGTTTTTTGTACACCACAAAACGTTATCATGCTCCACAACCAAAGCTTCACCCCAGCGTAAAGACACATTAAATTCCACCACAAATGTATTGCGTGTATATAACATGCCTTTTTTCTATAAAGATACACTCCATGTCTTTGTTAAGGCTCCCACTAAACCTGCACCTTTGCCTGGTTGCCTGGTGTTGCTACAGAGCTACATAGGGCACCTATGTAGCTCTGTAGCAACACCAGGCAACTACTTGCACGCATAGATTTATATATTTATTTACTATATTTATATATAATATGAGTGCTATTTGAATGCATCCTTATCTGAGGACCTTCAGTAAGCTCTAAGGAGTCATCTGTGATGTTAATGCGAGTAAAAAGTAAAGGTTTCACAACAAATGACCTCTCATATTTCTCCGAACGTAGAGTTCATGTGTAATGTTAGTCCTGTGCAAATCGGCATCCCTTTCATTACATTTTTACAAGGTTTTTAGTTTTTTTAAGCCTTTTTCTCTGTCCAGAATTATTTTTGGCTGCTTTGGTAAACATAAAGGAAGTGTCTGATAGTATTTTGTAAGTAAATGTAGGTGAATTTAGACACCTTTCATAACCTATATCATAACATTTTTATTTTCTGCTGATTCTACTAAAATAAGGAAAGCAGTTTATTCCATTTCCTTGAAATCAAATGCCAGTTTCCTTCACTATTTCAGCCTTTGCCAGTACTAGTTTGACATTTCGTTTTACTAGTTATCAGTTTCTTCTACTCGAACATGTGGGGTTACTTTGATCTTCCCAGTCTTTGCACACACTTTCTTTGTAGCTAACGAGTGACATTTTGCTTCCATTGTTCTGGTTAAGTTAGTGTCCACCTTTTTATGTTTATAGATATTAGTATACATTTTTTTACTTGCATCACAGCCACTCGTAAGAATCTGAATTCAGTTCAATCTCATTATCTTTGGGCAATTAATACTTTATTTCATTAAAAAGGGACGGAAAACTAGGAAAAATCTTTCCAATTCACAACATGACATCTTTACGGAGCCCCTAAGCCTAAGGGGACATGACAAAAACGTATCTTTGCACACGAGAAACTATCATGAGCACGAGATATATATACTTTTTGTCCATGTCCCCTTAGGAGCTCCGTACATCAACAGTCAAAAACTCAGAGCTGAAGCTCCTGTGGTTCCAGCTCTGTGTGAACGTATTCTAATGTTTTCTTCTTCTTCTGTGGTGGTACATTTGCCGATTTAGTGGTTAGTCAGATAAAACTCGACATTTGAATACATGAGCATGGTCAATGCTTTTCTAACATTACACAGACCTAGTATTCACTGAGATATAAAGCAGAGATACTACGACATGTCTAACTCGTGGCTCGCCCTTGTTTGTTTTCACCTCTCTTTTTTTGAAATGCTGGAATCGTCTGTTTGTCTTTTCCTCCAGGTGAAGATGCTGCAGGCTCTGGGGCTGAAGTCCACCCTCATCACCGACGGCTCGTCTCCCATCAACCTCTTCACCACTGCCAACGGCCTGCTGGGGGCGCTGCCGGGACAGGGCCAGTGAGGAGGTTTGTCCAAACAGACAGATTGTCCAAAAGTAAACCTCAACAGATGCTCCCTTTTTCTGCCGACTTAGCAACATAATGTGCCTTTTTGATTTAAAGATGCACTTCATGTGTTTGATAAAGCCTTCCCAAAATCTCCTCTAAACCTGCACCTTACTGTAATGTCCTCTGCATCTTTAAACTCAAACCGTTTCCATGCAGAGATTTGCGCAAACTCTGGAGTTTCCCCCAGGAAAAATGACCAGAATTTAAGTACAAATTCCACCGCAAACAACCTCCAGTATTCAGACACATCTCCACATAATTCTTCACAACTTAATTCTTTCCAAACAACGTTTCAATATTACATTTTTCGTGGCCAAAAATAATTGTGTGATAATAAATCGAGATATTGATGAAAATAAAAAATATGATGCTTTTCGTAAAATGTACGTTTGACTTAGTTTATTGTGCATCAAGCAAGAACAGAAATAACCCAAAATGATCTGTCAAGCACTACGTTATTGACATTATATAATATTATGTGTATCACTATAATGATAGCAATTCTTATTATTCTCCAGAGCGACACATGGTATCCTCTCTTTTTCAAGCAGTCATTTCATCCTCGTCCATTAGACTGTAGGAACCCAAAGATCCCTCCTGCCATGACTCTACATCCTAACTGATAGCGTTTTATTTCTACGTTTTTATAAGCGTGTTTCTGCTGACATTTAAGATGTTCCTGTGCTGTGATGAGTGAGACTCAATCTAAGTATCCCACCACACGACTTTTGCCTTTTCAAAGCTCTGTTAAAATAAAATGTGTGGATTACTTTCGGACAGAAACCAGCATGACGACATGTTGTGTGTCTTGGTGAAAGCTGTGCTGCGAATGAAGAAGAAATGTGCCTACAAACAACAGACAGCCAATATTCCTGCTTTGCACCTTTTAGAAAAAGAAGTGAAATGGTGAAGTTGACATAGTCCATATAATAAACTGATGAAGAATAACCGGGTATGAAATAAGAATAGGATAGTGTGACTGTCTATGTTTCTCTACCTTGAAAAGTGATGTAGTTTCTACAATAAAATGCTGGTTCTGCCACTTCTGCTTCGTCTCTGCTCTTCATTTACATCAAACCCTGACCAAAGCTCTTAGACACTTACTGTTTCTGTGAGATTCAAGACTTTTAAATCTGACTTCCTTGGAACAGAGATAGTGTGCTCAATATGTCATTAATAAATAAACAATATTGGCAAGTGGAAAACAATATGGGTGAGATATGAATACAAATGAACAATAATGATCGGCATGCTGTATTGTATCCTTTACATGTACATGTGTGTGTTCAGAATGTACAGTGTGTGTTCTGTATGTAGGTGTGTATATATGTACACAGATAAGAAAAGATAACTGTAAAGATAACGTTAAAAAAATTACAGTTCAAAATTCTAATTGAAATATGTGAGAACATTAAGCAAACAAGAAAGTATGTGTGCTGTATGTATGTAATGGGTGTGTTGTGTATGTATGTGGGTATATTTGTTTAAAGATTACTTAACAAAATCGAGAAACTGCAGTACAATCTTTAAATCTTAACTCAATGTATATTTTGTGTGTACAGTGTTTGTTCTCAATGTAAAGCGTATGTTCTGACTGTACACTGTGTGTCTTGTATATATAGATTGCGGGGTATTTTAGCCGGAGGTGGGGGAAGACCTTAATGTTAAGCATGCCTGTGTGAACAGGATGAAGTCCAGACAGCTGATTGATTTTAGGTTTTAACACAATAGCAAGAATGGGGTGCCAAGATGGTCCTCAGTCAAATAAATAAAAATCATATTTGGAGATGTTCCCATCTAAATGAATCAGTGGTGCAAAGTAACTAAGTACACACTTTCCTACACGATCTGGCAGAGGTTAAATGGCACTTCATAGCGTTAATTCCATCTGTCGATGTTGCCGTCAAATTTTTGTAGTGATCACTTTTTATCGATTATTAATAGACATGCCCCCCTTAGAAAATTCAGAGTTAAGAATAGGAACACTCCATAGAGAACTATCTGATCTCATTCATGATCGAAATAACCATGGTCCTTAGCAAGTCTAACACTAGTGATGACTGGCTTCTTTTTCGTGTCCTAAATGTTCAGCCCTTATTACAAAAGTTAAAGCTGATTACTATCTGAGCTTAACCACTGATTGTTTTAATGACCATTCTAAGTTCTGGAAAACAATGAAATCACTTCAGAACAAGAAGATTTCCCACAAAAACTGAAGGTCAGTGATTCTTTTATTTCAGATTCAGATGGTATGTCTAATGCTTTCAATGCTCACTTCAAAAAGGCTGGTCACATTTTTGATGAGCAAAGTCATGACTCTCTAAATGGTCGTACCTTGCAGCCCTAGTCAAGAGATGAACTCCCATGTTTTTGATTTAGCTTATTTCTCGGTCTCTGAAGTCTTACAGGGTTTGCACTCAATTGATCCTAAAAAGTCTGACGGCCTAGATCCTTTCTTTTTAAAAATTGCAGCTCAGATTATGCCACGACCAGTAACTGATATTTGTAATCTCTCCCTGTCCACTCACACTGCCAGCTGTGTGGAAGCAAGCTCTGGTATCGCCCCTCTTGAAAGCTGGTGATCCCACGGAGTTTAATAACTATCGTCCTATCTCAAATCTTTCTGTGTTATCAAAGATTCTTGAGTCCCTAGTTTCTACTCAGCTAAAACTTTTTTTAAATTCACACAACATCCTTAACCCTATGCAATCTGGATTCAGATCAAAGCACAGTACTGTGACTGCCAGTCTGAAAGTCTTAGACGATATTAAGGCTGCTTTGGATAAGAAATCTGTTTGTGTTGCATTGTTTATTGACTTAGCCAAAGCATTTGACACTAGATCACCACATTATGTCTAATGTGTCTCGTTTCGGTCATAATGCCATTTGCTGGTTTCAGAGTTATCTAACCGACCGTACTCAATGCGTCAGGTTGGGTAGTACTGTCTCTCACCCTGTCACCTTGGAGAAGGGAGTTCCACAGGGCTCTATTTTGGGGCCCTTTTTATTATATGTAAACAATATTTGTAATCAGATGCAATTTTCTACCTATCATATGTATGCTGATAACACTATTGTATACTCATGTACTCCTTCTCTGGATATGGCCGTTTCCAATTTAAAATCTGATGTTATCACGCTGCAGCATGCACTTCTTGATTCCAAACTGCTTTTGAACAGTAAGAAAACCAAAGCAATGCTTTTTGCTCCCAAGTCAGCGTCCTCTTGCCTCTCCATTGACACCCTTGATGGCGTCTCTGTTGTTGAGTTTGTCGATACCTACAAATATCTGGGCTTTTGGTTGGACAGTAATCTGAACTTCAAACACCACATTGAAGTTCTAACAAAGAAATTGAAATTCACTCTTGGCTTCCTTTACAGACTTAAATGTTGTTTTTCAACTTCTTCCCGTAAAAGGTTGGTCTCTGGCTTATTCCTGTCCCAGCTGGACTACGGTGATACCATTTATAGATTTTCCTGTCCCACTGTTTTGGCCAAACTTGACCCACTCTACCATGCTGCACTGCGTTATATATCAAATGCACCCTATAGGACTCATCATTGCACACTGTATAGCCTAACTGGATGGTCCTCACTTAGTATGCGTAGGATGCAGCATTGGTTTTTTGATTAATGTATAAAGCCATTTTAGGTAAGCTTCCACTGTATATTTGTGCCAGATGTGCCCCAGTTTGTGACTCTTACAACCTCAGATCCAGTGCCTGGATACGGTTCCAGGTACCTGCCGTGCGGACTGAGGCTGGAAAAAGGAGTCTTTGTTATTAATGTCCTTGGTCTTGGAATGACCTCCAATCACGCCTCAAACTGAGGGCACTTGTCTCAATAGCATGTTTTCAATTGAAGTTGTCTGAAGTCCTAACCACTAGCTGCTCTTGCAGAAATAAGTAGTGCACCTTTCTTACTGTCCTAATGTGCTCAATGTAGTGACTGGCTTTTTCGTCTTTTGTTTTCTTAGTTATGTTCTCTGTATTTTATATGTTTGTGTTATGTGTAACGTTGCTGCCTTCTTGGCCAGGTCAGCATTGAAAATGAGATTTTTTCTCAATGCTTTTATCTGGTTAAATAAAGGTTAAATAGAAGAAAAAAAACATTAACTCAAGTATACTTAAACCTTTCATGCATAGAGGTCACGACAGTGGACAGATATTCAAATGACATTTTCTTGTATATGCATGGGGTTTTATGGCATCATCCAATACACTGCTACTCAGTGGCAAGTGCAGGATACATTCCTCCAAACTAAGATGGTCGACAGACAGCCAAATGGACCCAGTCACTCATCAACATCTTACCAATCCTTCTATAGAAAGCGACCCTTGGAGGTATAAAAATGTTGGTGACATCAAATAACAACTAAGGAATTATATAATGCATAAATTGTCAAAGTAGTGGACATCATGCGTCACCGGCTATATTTGAACTACAATTCATACTGCTACTGTTGTTCTTGAAATGAATTCATCTGAAGTACATTTTTGGGCTGTTAATCAATATACTTATGTTATTAGAATGTAATTTGAAGATTTTATATATATATAATATATAAATGCAGAGGGAGTTGAAGCTGAGGATGCTGATGGAGATGAGGTTGAGGATGCAAATGATGCTGATGATGTATTACTCCACTACAGCTCAGAGGTAAATGGTGTACTTGTACTCCACTACATTTATTGTATACCTTTAGTTACTTTACAGATGTGGATGAATGATGTGAAATCTAATCAAGTGTTAAATCAGACTTTAGTTCCACCTGGAGTAAATTCACAAGCTACCCTGCAGTATACAAAGTCATTCAAACTAGCTGCACATTTACCAGCTTTGAGAACACTTTCATGATCAATAATTATAATAAAACACATACTATTTGTTATTCTGAAATGGACCAATCTGGGTACTGTTACTTTTGGTAGGGGAGATCAGGGACAGTTGTAACACTTTTTAGGTTTTCCCCAGTAAGTAAAAAAACATTTACACTAGGATAGCCATTTTTGTTATATTATACATTCTCAATGTGTCAACTACTGAAACAATGTATTTAATTGTTTTTATGAAATAAGTACAGGTTGGAAAATGTATTTAAATAGTCACTCAACTGTTACAACCATCCCAGTGTACAGGGACGGTTGTAACACATGCCAGGGATGGTTGTAACATGTTAATAACGGTTACCTTTTTCCACACTATGACAAAAAAGAGGGAAAGCTGTCAAATTCTAAGGCAACAAGATTTGTATGGGGTTTCACACATCCTCCAACAAACAATGAACAATGAACAGAACTTAAAACAGAGCACCAGATGGAACTAGAAAATGCATTTCCTGCTGAAAATGCGTGTGAATGCTGTAAACTGTGTACATTTGTTGCTGAATTTAGCTGAAAATGCAGAAAAAGCTGAATATGTTATTAGCGGAATGGTCTCTGTAGCTGCTTTTAGCTACAGAAACCAAGTAAGTGTGTTGCTGAACTTAGCGGAGAAATGCAGAAAAGTGAAATGATTTGAATCAAAATTGTTACAGCTCAAATGCATTGCAATGACTTTGTTGAAAACTTGAAAGTGAAATGTTAAAATCGAAGAGTAGGACAAATAGTGAAGAAGCTTAATATTTAAAAGAAAAGGTTTAAAAAAGGAATAAACAACAAAATGTATAGCCTCAATGTCCTGAACTAGCTGAATAAGTTAGTTGAATGGTTTATAGCAGAAAGTAGGCTGAAGGAGTTAAATATCAAATGTAAGTAGTAGTGAATCAATTAATGTGTATTTGCTGATTTTGACTATAAAAAGCGATTGTACTCATACAGAAAGCACACTTACAACACAGATCAGTGGAGACATTTTATTATTATTACTATTTAGTTTTTCTTTAGTTGTTTTTCTGTTACATTGGAGTATGACAGGTGAGGCTCTGCCTCCACTGACTGCACGTCGCTGCATATGAAGGTGTGCCTCGGAAATACTTGTTTACATAAATGGTGATCAAACTGTTTTGAGACCCACTGGGATAACTTAGACTAAAGTTAACTATCTAAA